ATTTCTTAAAAGTCTTCCCACCCCCTTTTAAAGAAGTATTCACTTAATTATATTTGCTCAAATAATGCAAGTAAACATCTATAAGTAAATGCATAAGAAAAATGCAGGTAAACTATATATATATACACAGAGAGAGAGAGAGAGAGAGTAATTTTTTAAAGAAAGGACTTCATCAACAGCCAATGTTTGCTATTTGTTCTTAATTGCAAACTCAGTAAATCATACCATCTACTATTCTTACTGGTACGCTATATTTGAAAAATTCAAAACAATTTCGTAGGCAATAGGAACCCATGACTGGAAATGTCGTCATATGCAACTAGGGGCGCTTTCCGATTATGACCTGTTCAGAGGCACATAAAGAAAGTTTATAATAGAGATGCACCACCAGAGGCGTATGCATTTCCAGGTATGGATTCCTATGCAATTTTAATCCAAGTGATGTGTCCTAACCTCTTTATTAATTTGTCGCAACATTTACGAGACCTATTGTTATGCATAACGTTTTTAAACTTGCAACATCTCCTCAGAAATACGACTAAAAATGTCATTTAAAGAAAAGCTGTAGCCCGAAGAGAAAAACTTATTGCAGATATATCAGCAACGTGAAAATATCAAAAAAACCATTAAAATTTTTTTTCTCTCTTCAGCATAATTTGTCTTTTTTTTTTAAAATATTGTATTTCCCAATTAAAATTTAAATCCGATTTCCATATTAACTTGATATTTACTGTATACAACCTTAAACAATTTTTAGATGTAGTGAAACCTGCGTAAGTTGTCCTCTTACAGTAGACAACTTATAAAGAAGGAAGAGTCATTGTTTTTTTTGACCAAATTGATATTGCATTTTTTTTAAAAAAGACTATACACGTTATTACTATACTATTGGATTCCATCACACGTTGGAATCAAAGGTAACGAGATGGCGGACTCATTGGCTAAAGATGCTTCTTTGGAACCTCTACAGCCAGATCTACCTTCCACTTTCAACGAGGTCTTTTCGGAGTGCAAAAAAATGTTTATGGACCTCTGGAGGGTTCCTCCTCAGCATAGTTGGTATTTCAGAAAACGACCTGGAAGTGCCTTGCTTTTTGAGGGACCTAGAAGCCAGCAGACTTGTTTATCTCGCTTTGCAAGTGGTCACTTGAGGTGTCTCTCGTATGTTATGGGCAAAAGACTTTTGGACTTTGCACTAAATGTAGGACTGCTCAGGCTTCGCCCGAGCATATTCTAAACTGTATCGATTTTAAGATCGACGCGGTTTTTTCAAAACCTCATCTGTTTTTAGACTTCCTGGACATTTTTGGACTTATGGAATTGGTCTAAATGGGATGGACCTCTTGGGGATTAGAAACAACAACACTATACTATAGACTATGACGTATATTAATAGTTTTCCAATAAGGTCAAGTCATAAAGGGGCTTAAATTAGCTTTTAATACTACTTTACTAATTCAGTGAAACTCTAATACATAATATAATAGCTTGGAAAATTTTCTAAAAAAAAATTTATTTTCCCCTCAACTTACGAAGAGTTTGAACTAGCACTCTCAGACAAATTTTTCATTGGTCAATGTAAAAGATAGACGAGCAAAGGTTATAAGGGTTTTGCTCTTTTTTTTAGTATGTAGGATAAATTTGGACTGGTCAAGGAGGTCAACCTAGATAGGTGGTCAACTTGAAAGGTTTCACTGTACTTTTATATTTTCACAAATAAATGAAATAAAATTACTGAGTCAGAAAGAGTGTTTTTTAAAAAAATATATATATCAGTTAAAAAAGTTGAATGAATTTTACAATAATACAATGAAAGAAAGAAGTGTCTTTAAAGATTACTTTTGTACAAATCATGTTTAACACTTTAACAAGGAAATTGGGATTAAAAATTAACAAAACTAATTTATTTGCAAATTTTTTGAGCCCTGGCCATAAGTATATTTAATAATCTTTGCAAGCAATGATTTTTTTAAAAAAAAATGTACATAATTTCTCTAACAGTAATTGTGGGTTTCGGTAGCAAATGACAAAACCTATCTCTTATAGTTAAAAACTAAGCACTTAAAATATTTTTAAATTTTGATTATAGCTTGTATTATCATCATGAAAAAAAGAAACAATTATAAAAACATAACATTCATATTGAGGTTAATTTAAATATAAAAATATACCTCCATAAAAACGTGATGAATTATTTTATTTTTTGTCACTATATTGTTTATTCTATTGCTTTCAATACAGTAAAAAGTCGCACCAACCTGCAAGTCAGTATAAACATCATTAGAATTTTTTCCCTTAAAAATTATTTTGACTGCGTTAAAAAAACAAATAGACCAAAAACACATAATTATCTTTTACTTTTTAATTTTCCAGAGTGTTAGGACTGTGTCCATGTAAAAGCTGCATATTCACAGATACAGAAGAAATTCAAAAGCTCTTATTCTTTTAGAATAACAGTCAGCTTAAAAATTATAAAACAATCCATAGCTGCTGAAAAATAATATATTTAAAGAGTTATGAAACAGATTTCGATTATAACAATAACCCAGGATAAATTTATTCTATAAAAATTGAAGTTTAATAGTTATCGGTAAAATGAATAACATTTTTTAAATAAATTTTGCTTACTTAACAATAAGTCAAGTTACTAATTCTGTTGCATATTATTTTATAAGCTTCTTAGATGAATTTTAAAATTTTTCAGCTAATATTACAACATTTTCTGATATTTTTAAGAAAGAAAATAATTCTTAAGTTGAAACAGAAAAAGGAAATTATACTTTTATTAATGTAATTTCACAAACTCACTTAATTTCTGAACATAACTGCATATTTTTCAGCCATATTCCTTTATTAATATCTTTCTGGATTAAGATCTTCCAACAACTTTTGTATCAGTAAGAAGTAATTTAGCTTAATTCAGTGAATAATTTCAGTTCAATTTGTTTTATTTTTTTTGAACTCTTCATTTTATTTTCTGTGGGAATAAAGAAACACTGATTTAGAGAAAGAGTTCCTTGTTGGCACTAAAACCGTCTAAGGCTATAGCAAGTTTATTAGAAATAAGAATCCAGCGAGTCTTTCAAATTATGAGAACTTGTCCAAGAAAATATTATGAAAGTCTTCATGGTTTTTTGAATAAAAAAATTATTAACTCTGTATTATCATCATAGTTGGCCTCACAGCCCAATGTGGGCCAATGCCTTCCTCTGGAGATTTCCCCATAACGACTTACGATTTATCTTTGACCACCAATTCTTTTCATAAATTACAAGAAAATTAGACTCCACAGAGTCAGCCCATCTTAACCGGCCTTCCTCGCTTTCTTGTTCCAATAGGATAAAAAAGCAGCATCTTTTTTATTGTACTGTCAACACTCATTTGAATCACGTGGGCCTCCAAATTCATTCTATTTATTTTTATGTATTTAATAATTACAGGTTGTTTATAAATCTTGTACATTTCAAAGCTAAATCTCCTCCAGTTATTGTTTTAATTTACACCACCAAGTATACCCCGAAAAATCTCTCTCTCTCAAATATTGTGACACAATTTTCTTCCAGTTTTGTCATTGTCCAAACTTCAGAAGCGTATGTCAAGACTGGCGTGACAAGAGTTTTGTAAATTTAAGAATTTTGTTTTTCTTGAAAGAAACCTAGATTTAATAAATCTTCTCAGCCCATAAAGAACCATATTTGCCAGATAGTTTGTTTTTTTCATTTCAGGAGGCATTCTGTTTTCAATAGTAATAATTGATCCTAAGTAAGTAAAACTCCTTGCTGTTTCAAATCTATTTCCAGATAGGGGTCTGGGACTCTGTTTCTTGAGAATAACATATATTTTGTTTCCTCTACATTTATGACTACACCCATTTGTCTTGCAGCCAAACTTTGTATTTTAAATCAAACTTTGTAATTTTAAATCAGTCGGAAAAAAAAAAACATTATATGAACTATGGTGAGTAAAACATTGTTTGGCTAATTTTGTTTAATTTAAAATTAAGCAACCAATAAAGCTCCAGAAAAAATTTAATTTGCGTATGGGATATTTCACTCACCCCACAGTAAAATGTACAAATAAAAATATTGGTTTTAACATTCCCAATTAAAAAGTGGGAATGCAAAGTCAATTCGCAAATTAAAGGGCGTTCTTCCCATGGATGTTCACGAGCAAATAAAGAATATTCAATATATGAGATTTAAAGTTTTAATAATAAATACACTTTTCATACATCATACAGAAGATTATTTAATGATATAAAAAATCACTATTTTTTATATTAATAAGTCAAAGTACTAATGAAAATGAGAGTCATCTTAAGATAATTTTTAATTACCATTTAAATTATCTAACATTTTTTCTAAATAGTATAGCAGCAATTGAAAAATTTTAAATATCACAACCTACTTTTTAGAAACAGTCCTTTAAATGCCAAGCACACTGAATATTTTAGAAACAAATACAATCAGTTATTTCTAGAAGTTATTAATATTAATGTAACTGCAATAAATTATTTTTAAAGGATTAGTAATGTCAGACTCATCAAACTCCTACTTTAAAATATATTTAGAAAAATATATTCTTCTATTCCCTATTGTCTATTTTTTTTTGTACACTATTGAAACAGTGCTTTCAATTACAAAGAAAAAAAAAAGCAAGAATGCATAGTAAAACATGTCTTTTTCTATCATATTGTGAAAACATAGAAAACGCTTAATTTCATAAATAACTATTTTTTTTTCATGGAACTGTAACCATACATTGCTCAAAAAATTATTTCATTAATCATTTCTGCTTTCTTCCCCCTTTTTTCATATTTTTGCAATTTGATTCAATTAGAGAAGCAATTAGCAAGAGGAATATGTATTTTGGCAGGGTTTGGTCCGCTGATTTTTATTTCAAACGTATTATAAGTTAGTTAAAATATAAAAGAACATGGCAAACAACAAGACTAATAAAATCAAAACAACAAATATTGAAAATATTAAGAAAATAACACATAACAGAAATGTAAGGTATTTATTATACAAATAACTTACATAATTACATAGAATGTTGTAAAACATTAACTAATTTATTCATCAGGATATTTATGGGAAATAACAGTAAAAATTAAGATTAAAAATCAGAAGAATGTAGATCACATTTCGTATTTTAATAAAAATGCTTTATGAAAAGTTAGTTATAAATTCTCTCATCTGCCTACCATTAAGTAAAAAAAAAAAATGTAACCAATGAGTAAGTGACAGAAATTCCTTAATTGAAAACGAATATGATGATTAGAATTCCATCATAGAATCCAAAATTTTCACTGGAAATGTTAAGTTATTTTTCATAATTTGATTTCGTCCAAATAGCACCAAACTAGTTCCGAACAAAAGTTCGTCCGCTGCAACAAAACAAAAACAGTTTATTAAAAATAAAAAAAACAACGTGGAGCAAGCACATTAAAAATAAAATCAGTTTTTTACCAATTCGAAATATATTTTTAAAAAATGAAGATGTAGAAATGTATGGCTTACTTAGTTCTAGTTACTAAGTGAAAAAAATGAGAAAATTTATGATTATCAGGTCACAAAACTGCTTACAAATTACCCTGAATGGGGAAAACAGTATTTACATATTATCCAATGGACCATATTTACCAAATGTGAAAACACAGTTGCAAAACATTGGTTTGGCAACAATATTGATTTAGTACTCTACAATCATAGTTAAATGCATTTATATAAGGCAGTAGAAAAATGGCTTTTCCTTCTGCAATGTTTCCATTATTTTGTATTTTGTGTATAGGGAAACAAATTTAGAAGGGGCTCAAATCTAAATATATGTGGCACATATATCTTAACATATATTTTTTTGTGTGCAATAAGTTATACGAAGTTTATTACGTTCCATGTGAAAATAAATTTGGAAGTCGATAAAAGAAATTATGTGCTATGCTGGCAAAAATAGTCGGTGGTAAAATACATAAGTGCTGTGAAAATTAAAGCAATGATTTTCACAGCGTGTGAGACAACTGCAAATTAAAAATATTTGCCTAGGAAATAGTAATTTTGCTTCCCGGAACTGAAAAAGAGGTCATTTTTAAAACATTATTCACTATCTTTTCCTAGTTGTCAGTGCCATCTGATGATAAACTTCGTAATAAGTGAAGTTTAAATTTGGTGAGATTAAAATCCTTTTTAATTAAGAAAAACACAGCAAACAGTGCATTTTTACATCTCCTTCTGATAAATCATTCAAAAACTGACTTACAATAGTATTAAAGAAATAAAAGTTTGAAGCGACTTACCTCATGGTTTTCTTTTCTACAGTTTTTGGTTCAGGTCTGGCTCTATTTAACACTTTTAAGAAATCTGATGTTTTGGCACGCATACGAGAATGAATGTATGCCTGAAAATATAATAATTCTTTCATTTTCAAACTCATGAAGTAATATAATTATTAATTATTTTCTACTATTAAAGAGATATTTTCTACCATCAAATAGGATTCTACTTTAAAAATATTGAAACTAAAGAATATATAGCAATTTTATCACTATGCCTATAACATTTGCAGACATTAAATGCATATAACTTGATATAAAAAAAAGTAAAGTAGTTTCAATACTTATGTATTTATATCTTAGTATTATTTGCATTTATTTTAATTTTATAAACTTTTATAAATCTGAAAATTTTTTGAAAATAAAAAAACTAGTTGTTACAGACGTAATAGAATGTGTATAGAATAAATGTAATGGCAATTGGAGAGTAAAGTTTTTAAAAATTACAATATTTGTTAAAAGAAACTGAATTATATGTATCGACAAATATTATGTTCAAAGAGTTGCCACCGCTTTTTTTAAAGTTAATAGTACACAGATAAGCAACTCTTTTTCTAGAATACGCATATTCAAATAAATTTAATGAGACATTGAATTTATAATATACTAAACAAAGTCAACATTAAAAAGTCGTGTGATCTTCCGGTTAATAAATTTCTTCCTTTATAGGCTAATAAAATTTTTTATTCCTTCTTTATTTTAAGAACCATCACTTAAGTTTTTATAAATAAAAGAAATAAAGAATATCAAAACGAGGAATCATTTTCTAATTATTTAAATAAATCCTTACAAAAAATACAGATTAACTTGGGTCGGATTTAAGTTTAAAATATATATACATTTCAGTAAATAATTTTTATAACATAAAGTGTCTAAAAAAGTGACTTAGGTACATAAGAATAATTAAGTACATAATATATGTGGTTAAAGCTAAAAGGGCTATTTCCATTCCTTTTGTACCAGTCTATTTTTTTTAAATCTCAATCTTAAAATTTATAAAATTAAATGTATTCTATGTAGACTTGGATTTCTATAGAAGTAAAAATAAACAAATAATTAAAGAAAATAAAAAAAGATAAATAATGAAATAAAATAGTTAAAAAAATAGAATTTCTTATTAATAAATACAGTACAGAACCAGTTATCCGGAAATCAGAAAACTGAAAAACCGGAACGAAATTCGATAAATTTGCTCGCTGTTTTTTAAAAAAATGTTTTCCTTCCTCATAAGATTTTACGATTTTTCTTTCTTTTTTTAAACATGCTTACCTTACCATCATTTTGGAAATAATCATTAGTGTATTACTTCATCGTTTTTTTAAGATTATTTCCAATTTGTTTTTTTTTTTTTTTTTAGTTGGGTTTAACAATTAAAAAAACGGCTTTTTGTAGCGATTCAGAAAACCGGAAAAATCAGTTATCCGGAATAGCGATGGTCCCGACCGTTCCAGATATCGGTTCCCTACTGTACAATTATGTACCAATCTTGAGATTATAATACTTTTATTCTGTTTTAGTTTGGAACCAAACATTTTTAAACAATTAAAAATAAATATAACAAAGAATAAAATGTTTGTTTCTCAACTCAATTATGCTATAGTGGCATTTTTTAAACAGATTACTTTCAAGGGATAAAACAGAACTTCCTGTTAAACAAAAACATCAAATTTTCTCTAAATATAAAAATTAAAGTAGATTTTAACTAATTTTAACACGTTACAGTAGTTAACTAGATTTAACACTTAACTAACGTTAATTAGCTCTACACATGTTAACGAAACACACGTAAACTAAATTTAACAAGTTAACTAAATTTAAGATGCTATTTGGGAATCAACAGATGCAAAATTAATGCAAATCTCAAAATCCATTTCCCAGGCAGCAAAAATCAGATACGATTAGATTTATACGTTTTCCACAAAGTCTACATATGTTCCCAGAAAAATATGTAGTTTGGGAATAAAGCTTTTATGCAAGTAAAATAAACAGTAAATATTTTTCCCTATGACTAATTTGAAAAATACTTACTTTTGAGCATTTGATGTGGTAATGTAAATAATCTCTAAAAGTATGAATAAGGTTTATGGTATTATCTCTGGCCTTTTTGTTGGTATGTCTTGGAAAAAGAACTGAAATATTATAAAACAAATTTAAATAAAACTTTCTAATATGAACAATGTTTACAAGCAAACGAAATAATTTTAAAACAATTCAGCGCAGATTCTAATGTTTCAAGGCAATAGTTGAATTCTTAATTAATAATTCATAAACACTAATTACACTGAGAATAAAATTCATGCAATATAAATTAATTTTAATGTCTCTATTCTTTTACAGATTCAATTCTTATTGATGGGAGTGCTATATGATAATGACAGCTTAAAATTTTTAATGCCATATTCCCTTTTTAGCTTCATAAGGCTAAACTTTTTTAAAACACTAAACTAGTGTCTTCAAAAGATTTGAAAACAATAAGTACACAGAATATATGCGTCTTTTAAATAACTTGACTAAACTACTTGAATATTGTTGTCATCAGAAAAATTCACTATTATGAATAAGTTTTTTTTTTATTTATAACCATTAAATAATTAACAATCAAGAATTTTTTAAAAAAATTAACTACTAGAAATATAATGGTTATTAAAAAAATTCAATAACAGAAGTTGTGAATTTTTATTTATATTAGGGAACTCTTTTTGACTGTGTACTACTTGAATATTGTGGTCAAAATATAGCACCTCTTAAAGAAAAAGAAAATAGTTGCACTTTTTAATTTATGATACATTTTACTGAAAATAATTTATTATTCTTTAAAATTAAACGAAGTTGTAAATTAGGAATATCTCCAATGAGATGGTGATATAGTGTTGGAGTGGGAAAATATTGCGTTCGAGAGGACGAGGCGGCTACTCTGGACTGCAAATATATAGCACTTAGTTACAGATGGATAACAATGTGTACTATAACATACTGTAAATGTATAAAAGTAGTAGTAAAAAAAAAGGCTTTAATATTGAAGCCATCAAAAAAACTCACTACAATTTTTAACAGTAATGTAACAAAGAACAAACCTAAGGATTATTCATTTCAAATGTGAGAAGCAGTATTTAATCATAATTTTTTTTTTTACTTAGAAATCCTAAAATACATACCTATAATAGGAAATTTTAACGATAAATGAAGCAAAATAAAATGGCAATCAAATCATGAGATAACTTTTTTAGTAAAATTTTTCTAAATTATTATAAGTAACTATGAGATGAGGCTAAGCCTCCTGTTTGCTGCTGCTCAACTACCCTGATTATTGCTTTGCAATAATTTTTGATTCCTGGTTTTCAGTTTTTCCTAGGAACGTTGAAATTATTCCCTTTAAATATATGTAAAAAAAAGAATTCTGTTTTATGCATGTGACCCATTTTTCATCTCCAAACATTTCCCTTATGTTTCATAATTAAGAATTAATAGTGAACATAAATTATTTTTCCACAGTAATAATTTTACTTAAAAAACATTTAAAATTTAAGGTATGTTGTTATTACACACTTGGTGAGTGCACAACCATAATTGTGGGTAATTAATAAACTACCCACAACCGCGAGTAATTTAATATTTTTGCTTACCAAACAGGCTAATATATTTACAAATTGTGCACCAAGCTGATAATTGAAATCATTTAACTAATCTATTTAACTGTAATTTATAATAATATATCAATGTACTTTGTATCAAAAAATAATAATTGTAAAATGGTTAACAAATTTAGACATCCATTTAAATAAGTTAATCTTAAAATGTAGCTTATTAAAGTAAAGCCATAGAATTACATTATAAAACAAACAAAATCAAAAGCAAAGTAGAATAAGAAAAATTAATGTTGTTGGTAAATATCTTAAATTTAGGAAAACAAAAACATTTTATAGAAAAACAATACTTTTATGACTTATTCTGATTAGAATTAAAAATGTATGGAAATGAATGTGGGAAAATTGGATCCTACATTATTTTTGGGCCAATAAAAATACACTTAAGACAATGGAAAATAGTGTTAATCCATTCGATTTTTAGGTTACATAAAGATTTATAGCTTGTATTTGAAAAGGTTCATTAGAGTAACAATAATTTCTGATTAGCTGGTTGATGCATTTGAAGCATTCACCTTTTCTATTGTCAATCATTTCATTGGATCCTGCGATACCATCATTATCATCATTTTATGTACAGTTAGAAAGAAACTATTTTTAATTATGTAGATTTAAAAAAAAAAAAAAAAAAAAAAAAAAAAAAAAAAAAAAAAAAAAAAAACAGAGATTATTTAAGTGTTTGGAAGTCATAAAAAGTAAAAAAATAAAAATATTCTGCTTAAACTGGAATTAATAATAATAATAGACTGAATATTAGTGTACATATTTAGCTATAATTCAGTAATTTATGTCCAGTAAATTATTTTGCTGGGTATGCTAAAAATATTTATTTTCAAGTATTTAGATTTAAGAAGCACAGAATAATTCTTATAGAAGCATTTTTGTTACAGAGTATTGCTAGTGTACTATTATTAATGCATGTTTTAATTATATTGTGAGTAATAAAAACAGATAACTGGATCAAAGAATCGGCAATTTTTTTTCCAAATCGAACCCCTAATAAAATTATTACAATACAAAAGTGTATTATAACATCTTTAGACAAAATTGTTGCTTTTTTTTCAGAAAAAATTTTGTTTTTCTGAGAGCACATGTATTACCAAATAAAGTAGAAATTTTTTTTATTGTTATTTTAATTTTTTAAAACTTTGCAAGTCAGGCAATGATGAGATATGAAAAGAGAAATTAAAACTATCCTTTCATAAAAAAGAATAAGCTTGAAACAAGAACTGTGAAAAGGAAAGAATGTTAAAACAACCTGCTAATATAAGTAATAATAATAAAAAAGACATTTTTAAAATATTATGTGAAATTCAAAATATAATTTTTTTTATTTTTTATAAAAACAAATAAATAATCGATAAAAAAAACTTAGTCACTCCGAAATTAAGAATCAAATGTATTTTTAGTAAATGCATCATATTGATACCTGAGCATTTTTTGACAATTCAAAATTTAACAAAACAATGGCATAACAGATAATTGTATCAATATTTAATATTGTTAACTTTCCTGAAAATCTTAGTAGCGTTAATATATTCCTTTCAAATTTTGCACAATCTTTAGACAATAAGTGTCAAAAATTTAAAACTGATAAAAAATTTTCAGTATTTTTTAGAATTTTAGTTTTAAATTCAAATTGAGTTAAGTTTTACTTTTAAAATTATAATGCTTTTCTGTCATTTACTTTTAGGAGCTGAAAATAGTACTTAGTTTAAAAGGAACACCCCTCTCTATGTTCAAATTCACAATATTTTATAAGTCTTCCTGACATCCATTTCGTCTATTTAAGAATCAATCATTTCAGAAAAGATTTATTTCAATTTCTGAATTCTGTGATATTAATAAATGTCAGCCTTAAAATAAACTAAAAAATGAAAATAGATTACCAAAAGTTATGTATCCAATATTATCACCAGTTCTAGCATCAGTATTAGCTAACTCCATTGGAGGTTCTTTATGACTGAATAGAACTTGAGGAGCTGTATGACTAGCTTTTCTACCTTCTTTGAATTCCTGAAGGAAAAAAATATGTATTGTTTCATAAATTATAAGCCATTTTCTGAAAATGATATATATAAAATTATGAATATTAAACATTCTTTGTATTGTAATTTCCAATTTAAATTAACTTTAGTTTAACAAAAAACTAAATGTAAACAAGTAAATAGACCAACTAAAATGTGTGCAAACTAGTAATACTTTTTTAGGACCAGTGACTAAATTTTCTTAATTTTTATGAGAATTTATCTTAAAAGAAATTTTATAATATAATATAAATTTTATAATATATTATTAAGAAATTTTATAATTTTTTTCAATTAACATTTTCAATAAACTTATCATTAAAATCTTGAAATATAGAAGCACAACTCAAGATGTTTACACATTTAAACCTTTTGGCATTTCGTTTACATTTAAAGAAACTTTTAAATAGAAACATGTTCAAAAGAAATGTATTATGAATTTAAAAATTACACATGCAAACAAGTTTTGTATCATAAATTTTATTTTTCCACAGAGAAAATTGAAAACCTGCTATAACTTAGCTTCATTAAAGAATGCTAAGAGTATAGAACTTCAATTTAATTATTAATTCATTAATGCTACACACATATTTTAAGATCATATAATTAGTTGTACTTTGTCTTTAAAGACAAATAGATATTGTTCTTATAATATATAATAATTATAATGAGTAATTAAGTTATAATCAATTGAAATAAAAACTAAATTCATTGCAGCCTTTAAAAGATAAATTTTTTTAACAGGGCCTCTATTCCAAAAAAGTTTATGCACCATTAGTTTAGTATGTTGAATACTTTTAAATATATGTATGTCCATAGTAGTGAAGTTCAGTAATCATAGCTGCCAACATGGATAGGGGAAAATCCAGACATTACGAAATATAAATTTCTTGATAATTTTTACAAAATATACTAAAAATTTTACGCACAGGGAATTTTAGGGATTTCTTTAGTCATCAAAGTAAAAAAAACTGCAATATTTTCCAGTTATGATTAACATTAAATGAACTTGAAATATTATGTTTACTCTTAATTTTGAACAGTAACAGGTATTTAGTTCATCAAAGATAGTTAACTGATTTTTATAAATGAGGCCCGCTTTTTTATGTATTCATAACACTTATGTAAATATACAGCCAGCAATAACCTGAGCAAAAATTGTATTTTAATAGGGATTTAAAGAAACATACTCTATTTTAGGGAATTTTCTAAAGTTTACAAAAACTAAAAACCAGGAAATTTTTTATTAAACCAGGAGAAACTGACAAAATCTGGTAGTCTTTTGGAAAATCCAGTACAGTTGGCAGCTATGAGTAATGATTGGAAAATTTCAAAAACGTTTTTTTTAAATTTTACCAAATGAAAATCTATAACTAAAAAAACAGATTAACTAGAGATAGAATTGAATTGATCTTGTCCTTAGATTTTCACATGGGTGCCAGATAAAAAAAGAGTAAGATGGGAAACCTAGATTTCAGACTCTTCAGTATTTGATTTTGAGTGAGCTCAGGGGATTTAGAACATCTGTTTGGGAAGAAGCAAGGTTTATTAGCAAACACAAACGACAACGAAGAGATAAGTTTGAGGAACTTTTTGTGCTAAAGGGCACAATAAAGATAAGTTAAATTGAGCTAATTTAATACATAACAGGCTTTGTAGTGAGCCAAAGAAAATATCAGAATAACATTTATCAGGAAAGAAAAAAAAAGGATAAAAAGAGAATATTTTTTGGAACAGTATACATATCCTGCGATACCATCATTATCATCANAAGCAATAAAATAAAAAAGTGATTTTTTGTGAAAATCCTCTTTTTTAAGGTAGTCGGATACCTTAAGAGCTTTTTAAGTATTCAAAAAATATTTTTAAGCACCATATACTTTAACAAAATGCAAAATAATTTTTAAGACTTGTTAAAATAACTAGTTTGTGACAAATCTTTTTCTTGATTATATTATCCACCATAAAACCATCATTTCGGTTCGATATCAGAGGGTGGAAAATGAAGCCTGAAATTGAGAATATCTTGCATAATGCAGCAGAGTCGCATCTGAGAGTGCAAGAATTTCATCAAACCCAGCTCAGTAGACGCACATGCAAACTCGCAAGTATTTAATCAAACATGTAAAATAATTGGAGCTTTCATACGCTATGGACCAACGGTACACCAAAATAGATTGTGGTTGAATGAATTGTGAAAATATTAAATAGAACAATGTGAAAAGCAGTTTTGCATAATACATGGCGAAAATCGGCCTGGTAAAGAAAAAAAATAAATCTCAGCTTCAAAAAGGGAAAATTAAGCTCTTTTTTTTTCAAAAAAAAAAAAAAAAAAAAAAAAAAAAAAAAAAAAAAAAAAAACAATGAAAAAAGCACTCTTAAGGGTCTTTAAAAATTGAAAATAAGCACATTGAAGCACTTTTTAAAACGTTACGCACCATGTACACTATTTATTCAAGGTCAAACGAATAAAAGTGGAATATGTTAATATTAAGTGCAATAAAACATACTATTTTTAATATCAGAATTGCTCTTTTTAAATTTAAAAGTTTTTACAGTTAGCAGTATGATTTTATTAATACTGAAAGTTTAAATCTAGTTATAGATAATTTTTATAGAATGATTGCCCTGAAAAATAACCAGTATTAATGAGTTAATATTCCTTCATGAAAATAAGTAAAATGTTTAACTGAATTCAAGTTTTCTTTATTAAATAATTTTAAAAAGTGGATTTAAATAGTCTCAAAATTAATTCACTGAGAATTTAAAGAATCATATGGACATGCAAATTTTTTCTCCTCAAATCTAAGTTTCGATTTAATGAAAACACACTAATAAAATTAAAACCTGATATGAAACCTGATATGACAAACAATACTTTTCCTTAAATACCAACTAGAAATACATGCTAAATATTGCACAGAAAAGAAAAACAAAATTATTTATTTACTAACAAGTTTTCCTTTGTTTATTTATATGCAGTTTATCACTTGGTTTGTAACAAACAATCCAGTTTGAGAAAATATATGGAATATATCTGAATCAGTTTTTAAAATGCAAATTGCTGTAAGTTTTTGGATGTGCAATTTTTTCCGGACAACTTTTAACTGCCCACTTTTCTTCTTCAAACATGTTCAACTGAAATGCTAAATGTATGGGGCTATTCTGATAATGATTATCTGTTGCACCTTCTAAACAATTAATGTTTTACCTTTCTGTGACAGGTCGTTTGCTTGATGAGGTATGTCTTATTCAATCAACCCAACTCATAAGGGAAACTGTTTTAGAAGCAAAAATATTAGTTAATTTTTAAGAGGAAATTTAAAAACAATTTAAATGAGTGATTCTTCTTTAAAAGATTCTGTTTAATTCAATAAATTTAACATCTTTTCTTTGACGTCTTAAATCAAGGAACCAAAAATACATTTCCATAAAATAAAGGATCTCTTTAGATCAGTTTTTACTGCATAAAAATTTAAAACATGTAGCTTTTTAAGAGACAAAGAGCAACAAATAGCAACTCACAAACATAAAAAAAATTATCTAATTCCTTAAAGTCTAATTTTTATAATTTAATATACAAAAAGTTTTATGAAATAATACAATAAAATTATTCAAATTGACCAAATTTTAGTTGACAATTCCAGAAAGTTTCACAATTGTAATTAAAGTTTGAGAAATTTTAAGATTACATCTAATGTTAGGTGAGCAAAATATAGATTTGTAAGTTTTACCTGCATAAATACTTTCCCAATTATAATATCATCCTCATCTTTAAATATTGTACTGAAAACCACAGTAACTCGGTCTGATTTTGCTTCAACATACCTTAAATACAAATAAAAATTATACAATTAATATTCACCATCTAAATTATTTCACATTTCCTTTTAAAGTATTTAAGTAATAACTTACAGGGTCTCGTCGTCTCTGTAGTGGATGACGGCTCTTTTATGACCTTCCTCACCTCTTTCTTGGAATTCAAAATATTTCTCAAATACTGAGGCAAAACAATTCCTTTTTAAAAGACCAGCTTTCATGATCATCTCTTCAAGTGGATCAGGAACGTTTTCCAAGTCAAATAATAGTGTTACATTATACCCTAAATTAGATGAATTAACACAACATGCGTATTAATTATATATACTTTTAAAATATAATATTATTTAATTTAAATGTATACATTCTTTCTTATAATATTCTTCTATGTATAGTATTCTTTTTTTATGTACTAGCATTTTTATTAAAAAAAAAAGCAAGCACATAAAAAAAAAAGAATTCTGAAGAAAAGAAACCGGCTGTTGAAAATTGCATTACTTTCATAATTTTTTAACTCTGTTGTTCAAAGGTAGCACAAGCAAGAAGTTAATAGGCAATTTAATGATTTAAAAGTCATTAAGAATTTTCAGGGATTAGTATTACCAATAACTTGTAGAAGATATTATTAATGGGTACTTAATTTTTATATTTCTAAATCTTTTAATTTTAAATTCTGCATTACATTAGACAAGCACTTCTTAACCCAGGGGTTGCATAGACCAGTGTTCTCCAACCCCCGGTCCGCGGACCGGTACCGGTCCGTGGATCAAATGGTACCGGGCCGCCCATTTCATTGAAACTGAATTTAAATTCCTTGGTTTATCCCCAAATTAAAAATATCTGTGTTCCATTAAAATTTTATTTATTTAAAAAAAGGGGACAGCAACCAAAACAAAGCAACGGAATAAACTGGACGTAAGCAGCACACTTTGGCTGTCATTGTCTCCGATTACCCCCAGATGGAAACGTCTCATTGCGAAGAAAGCTCAGGGTTCTCATTGATTTGACGTTCTAGTAAGTTTAAATGTTAAATCACTTTGTATTTATTTTTCGGTGTTATAGTATTTTATTTTGAAATCATGTTTAAATAAAATTAAATTGAAATTAATAAATCAAAATAATCAAAAATATAGACAATCAACGTCCTCCTCTACCCCCCCCCCCAGTGGGTCGCTGTAAAATTATCAAACGTTGACAGGTCCGTGGTGATAAAGAGGTTGGGGAACACTGGCATAGACAAATCTGGGGGGGGGGGGGGGNTGGGAGGGGGTGGGGTTAAAACAAAAACACATTTAAATACATAAAAACAAATGCTAAATACATAAAAGAATTACAGTTTGTTATTGTTCCATTACTGATTAAATTTTGCCTTATTATCTAAATAAATAATGGATGATTTAGTTTGTTTTCTAATTAAAAGTTTACCCATACATGGCTAAACAGAGACAGATTGCTAGAAAGCAATATTAGACGATTCCAGCATTTAGTTCTTAAGACCAGCACAGATGAGAAGCAACTTACATAAAGGTATGATGTTGCTAACAGAAATTTTTTAAGAAATAATAGCCTTCAGTTTTTTTTAAAAAACAATTTTTGGCCTGTAGTTCGCAAAGTATTCATTTTTCTTTTCTTTTCTTTATTAGAGAAGTCACGGGAGTAAAAACCTTGAGATAAACCGCATTAGACATTAAAGCAGTAAATCAAAGTCCTTTCTATGACTGACATACAATTCCGTAGCGCTCACTTAATAAGTTTTGTGTTAAGTTTATCAAGGAAGGTTTAAATAGGCACATGTAAAACACCTATAAAATTCATTCTTAAAATTAATGTTATCTTATTCAGAGTGAAGTAAAAGATTTTATTTCAAGCCTTTCTCTTAAACATTTAAGCATTAAATTTTAGGTAAATATAGAAGGAGAAAGATTACTCATTTTGACATTAACAGGAAAATAACAGTTCCAGAAATTTTTAAAGTAAAAGAAATGAAAAAATAAATAAATAAAATATGTATGCAATTACACATTTTGTAATATAACAATATTTAAATAAAAATTGTACAGCGTCCAGGTTGAGATGAAAAATTATAATAACAATTTCTATTTTTTAAACAAATAAATAGTTCTTAACAATTTTTTCATTCTACTTGAATTTATAAACTTTATGCGAAAAAAACATTTTTCTGAGAATCACAAATAGTTACTCTTTTTAATTATTAATTTCAAAGATTCAAGTTTGGCACATCTTTTAAATAAGTGTTTTTGAAATTATAACACATATTTTTCCTCATTTCTCAGAAAACTTTAAATCTAAAACATTATATCTGCTTCCTCTCTTTTCAAATAGAAATAGTTTTCATAAGGTATACAAATGCATTATTAATTTTTTACTCTGTTGCATTATGCAAGAAAGAGAAATATTAGCAAAATTGACACAACAAAGAAATGACGAGAAATTTATGTATTTAAAATAATTTAATTCAGAATACTACAAATAACTAATGTTTAGCATGATGAACAGGGTTCATTCTAGGTGGGGTTTATGGGGTGGACTTGTTTGTCCTTTGATTAAAAATTTCAATCCAGAATGCCCTAGGAAGCTGATTAAGTACCCTGACTTATTAAAGAGGGTGGGAAAGGTCAAGATGATTTTTTGGTAAATCCATGTGGTTTTCTGATTGTTTTTCCGACAGTTATAAAAAATGTTTTGGCCGTGGTTAATCCTTTTATCGGCCCTTTTCACATGGTCAAATCAAATATCGGTTTCAAACAGGATATTTTTAATGTGATGTTATTAAGACGTTCTAAATTCAAATTTGAGTTATTACTATTTAATGCATGCGATTTGTGACTATTTCATCCTAATTTCATGTCGTTTGATGATAATTTGTTTGAAAGCTATAATTTTTTCAGCCTTTTTCAAATTCAATATTTTTAATACAATATTGTTAGGAGGTGCAAATTTAAAACTTGCATTATCACATTTTGATGTTTGATCGTAATTTCAGTTATTGATCATGGCTTTTACAGAAGTTATTAATTATTTTTTCCTATCCTTATGTGAGTTTTTTAAATACTGACATGTTTAATAGGATGTTCAAAATTTAAATATGAGTAATCACTATTTGATGCGTTCTATTCGTGAAATTTCAATCTCAATTTCCTGTCATTTAAAAAAAGTTTTTTTGTGTGTTTTTTTAAATCATTTTATTGTTTCCTTTCACATGATTTTTACAAAATATGATATTTTTAATACAATGTCATTACGGAGTTCAATTTGGGGTGATTCCATTGTAATTTCCCATCGAAAGATTATATTGCGCCATGCAGAAAGTTTGCGTCGATTCGATTCTATAATACTAAATAATTTTTTCGGCAGTTATTTATAATTTTTTTTTGCCTTTTTGCCTATCTTTTTTACTTTCTCCAATATTTTTATAAGATTTAATACAACTAAAAAATTCGAATTATCACTTATAATTCTAAGTTGTTTCCGTCAATTTCGACTTGTTTTTTCTTATTCTGATAATTTTTATATAATTTTATTACAAGCCAAGCAAGTTTTTCGACTTAAGGAGTGACGCTTTGACAAGCTCAATTTAGATAGATTTTATTATTAATCCACGTCTTATATAGATAGTTGTTTCGACAGCTGACTGTCGTTTCTTGACTATTTCCTCATGGCTTTTTTTATATTCTGATGTAATAATGTGCTGTGGCTAACGAATTCAATTTTTTAGTAATAACTTTTTTTATGTGCTTGATTCACAACAATTCCAGCATAAGTCAACATTAATTTTTTCTCTCTTTTTCAGCAGTTATTACAGTTACTTATAATTTTTAAAATGTCAATATTTTTAATAAGATATTATTACGGCGTGCAACATTTTCAAAATTAGAGAATTACTCATTTTAAAGCTAATTTATAGAATGTGCAAATTTAAAAGGAATTATTTTCAATTTAAACTAATTTTATTTAAAAAAAAAGATTTTTTTAATGATAAAATTAAAAACTTTACACATATTTTCAGTCTTAAAAGTTAAGCAAACATTTGTGAACATTGCCCCTTTTTAGGGAAAGGGAGGCGCCCTGCCCTTCTTAAGTTCTAGAATGAACACTGTCATAAGAAAATAGATTTCAATATCCGATTTTTAAGCAGAGCATAAATTTATATGCAATCACACATTATGTTGTTAAAAGGTACCTTCTTCTGGAGCTGTTAGTAAAGAACCATATTCTCTCCTCAGCAACTGAAAAAAGAATTATTAATACAAGGTTAATACAAAAACAAAGTACAGCAGTTTTAAACAGATATGTGTAGCAATTTAAGGACCAACAAAAACAAAATTAAAAGTCTAGGAAAACATCGAAAATCTAACAATGCAATTCAGACACATGGAAAATTAAAGACTTTTCAGTGTTAAAAATAATTTAACTCCAATTTTTTTCTTCTCAATATTCTAAAAGCATTTCTTTAGTTGAGAAAGAAAATAATCTCAAATTTTAAAACATTGTTAAAAAACCATTTTTGGTAAAACTTCATAACATTCTAATAGCACACAATTAGCTTTTTTAAAATTCATTTTTTAATAATTTTAGTAAAGATTTTTTTTTTTAATATTTTAAGACAGACTTTAATTCTCTTCAATCTTCTAGGTGTAAAGAAAATAATGATATTTTAGATAAAAAATTGTTGAATACTTTAAATGAATCTAAAGTATCATAAAGTATGTTTGTAACCTTAAAGCTTTTTAAATAAATTGAATTAAAATTCCAGCCAAATGTTTACAAAAAGAAAATATATAATATACAATAACAAAAAAGGTACCTAAAGCCCCTTAATTTATTAGATAAGCGATATTATAGGCCTAGTCCACATTCTCCAGAAGGACCATACTTAGTTATGGATACCGTAAAACTGAAACAAATTTAAACTTTTATATTATTCCAAAATCAAAAAAAGTTTGTAGCCCCTTATTTATAAGACCAGAGGTCTCACCCCTGTGTTTTCTGTCTTTTTGCAAAAAACCAGCATATAGCACTAATAAGATTTTTAATAGTAATGCAAATAGTATATGCAAAGTGTTTATAAACAAATGCCTAAATATATGCAAAACTTTTTTTAATTCTGTAATTATGGTTTAAATTTTCTGGGAAATTAGTAAAAAGACTTCTTTTTTTTATTTTTTAAACTTTCGTTTCTGCAAAACTTTGAAGTGAAAAATTGATCATTGAAATGTTTCCCAAATGAAAAAATCTTTCTACAAGAAATCACAATGTTTACCACAATGTCTCAGTAATTCTGTTACAGGCTGTGTTTTGGAACACTCANGTTAATTAATAATTTTAATGGTCATTAAATTTTCTACTTATTTCAACATTTTTTGAAATTGCCATAGACAATTTAAATTTAAATGCTTCCTTCTTATTTTAACTTATTTTGAGATTGTCAGAGACAAGACAATCGATGACAAAGATTTTCACGCTGTTAAAGCCCGGAAAAATTGTAAAAGTATATATATATAATATGATATTATACATAATATACACTTTTCTTTAATTTAAACTTTACTCGTAATAAAAAAAGCATTTTAATTTTTATTGTATCATTTCTAATATTTGGCGACACATTTTAAAAATTTGGCGGCACACACAAGTGCCGCGGCACAGTGGTTGAGAATCACTGCTCTAGGCATAAAGAAAATAATGATATTTTATATAAAAAATAGTTTAATATTTTAAATGAATCTAAAGTATCATCAAGTATGTTTGTAACCTTAAAGTTTTTTTTAAATAAATTGAATTAAAATTCAAGCCAAATGTTTACAAAAAGAAAATATATAATATCCAATAACAAAAAATAAAGCAAGAATACCACAACAATTTTAAAAAATTTCAAATCCTCCCTTAATTTATTAGATAGACGATATTACAGGTCTAGTCCACTTCTCCAAAAGGCCATACTTAGTTATGGATACCGTAAAACTGAAAAAAATTTAAATTTTACATTATTCTTAAATCAGAAAAAGTTTGTAGCCCTTTATTCATAAGACCAGAGGTCCCACCCCTGTGTTTTCTGTCTTTTTGCAAAAAACCAGCCTATAGCACTAATAAGATTTTTAATAGTAAATGCAAAGTGTTTACAAACAAATGCCTAAATATATGTAAAACTTTTGTAAGTAACACTTTTTTTAATTCTGTAACTAAGGTTTAAATTTTTCTGAAAAATTAGCAAAAAGAATTTTTTTTTTAAACTTTCGTTTCTGCAAAACTTTGAAATGAAAAATTGTTCGTTGAAAAGTTTCCCAAATGAAAAAATATTTCTACAAGAAATCTGTAACATTTTACCACAATATCTCAGTAATTCTGTTACAGTGATTTCCACCAAAAGGCTGTGTTTTGGACTCACAAAAAAACTATAATTCAAGTTAATCATTTTTAAAATATTAAAGTTTATTTTTTGCATGAGTAAGATTTTATTTACAACCAAAAAATTAATTAAACAGGGCTCAAGTATTTTTTAATAAAATAATACTTATTTGGCGCTAATATTTTCTCTTCTACTATTTTTTCCCTCATTTCAATTACAATGCTTTATAATGTTACATTCTATAATCTATCTTTATGAGTAGGTTTTACAAACATAAGGGGTGGGGGACATTTCTTTAAATATCCTTCACTATAAATTCTTCATCAAATCATAAAAAAATAGCATGTAATTAAAAAAAAAAAAGTAAGAATATTTATTTTACCTCATCTGCTCCATGCTCTTGCAATTCTCTATAAAATTTCAGAGAAATGCTTACCTGAAATTAAAAGTAAATTAATAATTAAAAAATAAAGTAGTTATCAGTTTCAGAAGACCTTAAAAAATGTACTGCCACAACAGCTTGAGTACCAATATAAATATATTAAAGATCTGATATCACACTTAAATAAGTATCTCCATTAACTTCAGTAATAATATTATAAGCACAGTTTGATATTTCTTTACAGTTCCTTGAAATAAATGAGTACACAAAATTATTTAAATAAATGTGTATTTATAACTTACTCTGATCTTTGTTTTATCACCATTTAAATTTGAAATGTGAAACAGAACACCATCAAAATCTGCAATAGTTACATCAACAGACTCAGGTTTGTTACTGGAAAAAAATGAATATATTAGTTTAGAAACATCTAGATAACAAAGTTCTGATAACAACACACATGAGAAAATTTGGAAAAAGTAAAAATTCATATACATTATGCTTCTTTTCTCAATCATTATTGGAATAAATATTATAAAATATTTTTTTTCTTTTCTGAGGTACCAGTTTTATAATATTGGGTACAAAAAGTTTCTAATGCAAGTATTAATTTTCAGGGTAATAAAAAGAAAAAAATAACATTAAGAACCTTATTGTTTAATTAATTGAACTATCGTGACCATTTTCAAGATATCTTGTATCTCATCATATCTTGAAGGTCAATCTGAAATTAAAAGGATGAAAAGATATCTTTATTAAGAGAATATAGGATTTCATTTTAGATTTCTAGATTTAAATTAACAAAACTATATGATAAGTATAATTAGAAAAGTTATTCAAACCATTAGAACAAAAGTTTAAGAGCGATTCCTTCGTATAAACAGTTCCAGCAAACCAAACAGTTTTAACCAGTTAACATTCACAAATAATAAAAAAATTCAAAGAGATAAAGTAAAAATTGGTATCAACCACTTTTGCGAACTATAAGAATATTTAAAATGTTATTATACCTACATAGAACACCATTTAACATTTTATTAATGATATAACTCACAATGCATTTAAATATATTTATTTTAATCATTAATAATTGATTACTATAAATATAACCTTACAATTACTTATTTTAATCTATGAAACAAAATATTCTGTCATGAAGTTTCCTTCTTCAATAATTTTGAACAAATACTTGTCACAACTTGACTTTGTTTACTCTGATTGTGAACCCTTTTATTAAAAACACATACAATAAAAAAAAGACAATTTGGATTGTACACACTCAAAAAATGACAGCATATGTAATGAACAAAAGTTTAATAATAGTCAAAATATTTAAATCTTATTATTTAATAGTTACTTTAAATAATAAAATGCTTTACAAATAATACAAGATGAGAAAGAGGAGCCCTTATGAAAAATATTTCGAGCAAGTTTTAATGACAACTCTGCAGTAACACACTAGAAGGGAAGATTTCCGTATAGTGATTTATGGCATAATAATCGCCAAATCTTGGTGACTTTCGGGCAGCAGCCTGTGCAGTGTTTTCACTACAGCGCGAGAATCTCGCATATTTTTTTCTTTTCTCGCATTAAAAAATTATTACTGCGAGAAATTTGTGCGTTCTAAATCAATCTCAAAATTTGCGAATATCTCGCATTTTGGAAGAAGCATCGAATTATGCTATTTAGAATAAAATCCGTTTCACTTTTCTTCCTGGATCTTTCATTATTTTCAACATTTGCTCCGTTATCTAGCTTCCCTATTTACCAATATTGCTCAGAACCTTTTCGAACAACAGAACACAACTGAACCCCTTTCATTACACATTTCTCTGCAACCACGTGTTTACCGTAGGTAAGGTTTTTTCATGTAAGACGTTCAAATTTTTTATGCACTAATGTAAGATGGACAAATACCTAGTAAAGGCAAAAGCTTCTATGATAATGCAGCAAGAATATTCAATGCTTTAAAAAATAGAAGACGTTAAAAATGTATTGTAATAAAAAAAATGATTTTTTATTTCAAGTCTATTCGTGTTTTTTTAGTTTTCAGAAATCTCACTTAACTTTCTGAAATCTCACCCTGTTTTTGAGAAAGGGTGAGAAATTCTCACCCATTTTTTTTCTATGATGAAAACACTGCTGTGAGTAACTAAAAAAAAAATCACAAAATGGGACCAACTTGAAACCAACCCAGGTCAAACATCTACTTGTCCTTTTTTTTAAAAAATTTGCAAATCTATTAGGTAAATTGGCAAGACAGATCACGATACGGAAATATCTCCCATGAGAAACTAAAGACAAAATTACAAAACTAACTTGAGAGATGCAATTTGAAATCAACTTTACCTGCCCTCAACAAAACAAAATACAATATTTTTTAATAAATATTTTTTAAAAACGTAATTTTATTGCCATGTTGATACTTATAGTTGGCATGAGCATGAATTAATCCCTCCGAATTATATATTAAAAATCAAACTAATGACAAAATTATAAAACTAGACTGAGAGACATAATTTGAAATCAACCTTACTTGCCCTCAACAAAACAAAATACAATTTTTTTTACAAATATTCTTTAAAAACGTAACTTTTTGCTATCTTGGTACTTGTAGTTAGCATGAGCATAAATGAATACCTTTGAAATATATATTAAAAATCTCAGATCATTGATAGATTGAATGCATTGCACTACAATTTAGCAAAATGTATTTAGTCATATATCAAAACAGTTCATTCAATTTTATTCAAGTGTATATGATCAAGTTATTACTATTATAGACAATAACAACTTGAAGTCCATTAATTACGTAGCTCACTATGGGCCTTAATAGATGTTTAGTTTCATTCATAGAAAATACAAAATTTTACATCTATTTGCCAATTAATATCACAAAGGGTAAATTTCAATATCAATAGCTGTTTGAGCCAACTAAAATAATCAAGGCACAGATAGGTTTCTGAACTTGCAAAAATTAAAAGAAAATTTTGTAGTGGTTTGCCCTTAGTGGCTATGAGTCATAACTTTTGAGTTGGTGTCAACTTAAATGACATACCAATAAGTAACCCCCCCCCATAATCATATTCTTTGCTCTTAACATTATATTAAGTATAAGAGAAAAATAGGCATTGATTGTGCGCTTTGTTGTTGTAAGAACTACCCATATTTATTCAAATATAACTAATACAGACACTTATTTGATTATCATACACACAGTTCTCGTTCGAACGAGCAGAAATATAATATTATTCAAAGCGGTGAACGTTAATAGCCAGCGTAAATAATATTATGTTTTACAAGTAGCACAGGATGTCAGAAAACAATTTATAAATTGAAAAATAACGAAATTGATAGTTTCAAAATCAAGGAGCAGTATTTTAGGGAAAAACATAATAAACGCCATGGAACTTTAAAGAACTCGCATTGAAAGCTTCAGATCATTGATAGTTGGAATGCAGTTTAGAAAGTAAATAATAAATTTATAAGTAAAAGGATTTTAATGTAAGACAGATATAGACATATACCCAGCTAATCCATTTTTGAATTTGAGCCGTAGAATATCTTCGATGATTCGGTTGTTTATTTCTAGCAGAATCATATTTTACAGCTTTGTTTCATTCAGAAGTAATAAATAAAAGTAATTGAACTTAATAACTATCCATCAAAACTTTCGCAAACGGAAATGAAAACAGGGTGTCTGCGAAATTTTGATGTCAAGTGAAAGCCTGCCGACGGGCACAGTTAAATAGATAATTTTCAAGTGCAAGCAGATCATTTTATAAATTCATTATTAAAAAGTATTTCTTTGTAACTGAAACATTTAAAAAATAATACATAGCTGTAAATTGTTTCTATCAGATGTAATATTTTACTTTAAAAATCTATGGACGGTATTACAGTATTATGATGTCATATCTGGCATCATGAGGAATCATATGTAGGAAATTTTCTTTCCGTTTAAACAATTTAAAGATTTACAAAAGTTTTCAGTTTTCGTTCATAATATGTAATTTATAATACCAAAATATTTGATCCCTACCACTCATAAAACTTACTCAGAATCAGTCAGACTATAATTGTTCAAATAATGTACCCAGAATTCATTACAAAATAATAATAATAAAAAAAGTTATGTTGATGTTTTGTTTTGTAGTTCGTTTATGTCAAGGAGTATAGTTAATGTTCTGGTCTAATTTTCTTGTTTAATGTTTGTTAAAATTATTATGTGTTAAATTATTTCTGCTTGCTCCCACCCGAAATAACCAATGATGAAGTCAGTGGAAACGGAAGAGGACCTTATATTATTTAAAATGCATAGTGAGGCGACTAAAAGAGGACGAACAGTACTATCTTTAAGAGCATGCGAAATAGTTGACTTTAGTTCACAATATGGAAGTGAACACTCTATTTCGTATACAGCTGAAAATATTTTGGGTCCCCCGTCGGTATTTCCGAGGTCTGGAGATTGTGTCAGTGTGTATGAACTAGTATGTTAATTTTATGTTTTTTATAATTTGTAATTCTTTAATATTCCTGTAAAAAGTTTGAGATATTTCCGTATCGTGATCTGTCGCGCTAACTACAATCGCCAAGGTGCCAAATAGATTTTAAATTTGCAAATTTTAAAAAAAAAAAAAAAACATCTAGATGTTTGCCCTTGGGTGGCTACGAGCTTTACCTTTCGAGTTTGTTCCTTTCTGTGATGTTTTTTTTAAAAAACTTCTTGTGGACTACTTCCCGGAAGTTTCCTAGACTTGGCGATTCATCTGCCACAGATCACGGTACGGAAATCTCCCCCAAGCGAAAAACAAACTGAATTCCCGTATCCTAATGATCTGTGAAACTACAATCGCCAAGGTGCCAAATAGATTTTAAACTTGCAATTTAAGAAAAGAAAAAACATGTAGATGTTTGCCCGGGGGTTGACTATGAGTTATACCTTCCGAGTTGGTTCCTTTCTGTGATATTTTTTTTTTAGTTTCTCATGATGGGCCGCTGCCCGGAAGTTGCCAAGACTTGGTGATTATTCTGCCACAGATCACGATGCGGAAATCTCTCCACCAACTCGAAGGGTATAACTTGTGGCCACCCCCCGGCAAACCTCTACAGGCTTTTTTTGTTTTCATTCTTCTCGTTTCAAATTAATTTGGCTCCTCCGTGATTGTAGTTGAAGTGGCAGATCACAATACGGAAATATCCCCTTCGCTTGCTGTTGGTGATTGAAGAAAGAACTCTTGCCACAGGGTAGAATTTTTGAGTTTTCGTCCCAGGAGCAATATCGTTGAATTCTGATATATATTTTTATTAGATTTAATCTTTCCTTTCCATCTTAAATTTAACCTACTAGTGCCTTTTCGTAATTTATATTATCTTTAAACTATATGTGTCTTGACTTTTCAATAATTGCCATTTGCACAAAAACCTTTTACTACTTTGTTAAAACTTTGTACTCAAGAAACTGTAATGTTGTTGACCATTGTTTTAACCTGAATTAACTTTTCCCAATAATTTTTTGAAATATAAATTTTTCTTTCTTTTTTTAGGTTAAACAATTTTAGTTTTTTATTCAGTAGCTTAAATGCATCATAAGTTTAAATCTATATGATTGCGATGTTTATCTCAAATAATCTATACATTATTAATGCTCCGTACAATTAATAAAGATTTCTTACATTAAAAAATATGTGCTATTCATTGCTGGTTGTATATAATCAGGGGTCTGTCCAGGCCGCATTTACTACCATTCAGCAATACCTTCACAAATTCAATTTTAGGTAAAACGGTAGTTTCACAAATTGAATTTTAAGAAAAATGGTTTCACAAAATAATTTTTCTTAAAATTTTATTTTTGTATCCCTTAAGAAACGACAAATCTACATTTTTACCATGTATTTGTGTTGATTTTTTAATATAATTTTTAATTTTTCACAAATTATGTCAAAATTTTCACAAAATAGGTACTTTTCAGAAAAACCTAGACAGACCCCTGATAATGGTCTCTCATACTTGTGGTTTTAAGTATTGAATAATTTTATTAGTTACATTGATTTGTTCGTTAAATGTGGTTTAAATGCTCTAATTTAAGTTTGACTTTCAGTTTAAGGTTTTTGGTCTTTATTTTAAAAATACTAACTACAAGTAAAAATTTTTTATTTTATTTATTGTCTTAAAATTTAAATATTCTTATAAATATTGCAGAGAACTTATGGTAAATGGTGGCTTACTCTTCCATCAAGTAGAGAATCAAAAGTAAATCTTCCATGTAGAATTCCTATTGAAAGTCAAGATTTTATTGGTAAAGTCAGATTATTATTATATGCTATCATATCATTTTTATAAATTAATGTCTTAACCGCTTCCTTTTAATTTTTTGCGAAAAAAATGTAAAAAATCAACATATTTTTTTACTTTATTAATACATACAAGGAACTAAAACAAAACGTATACACAAGTTTGAAGTTGAAGATTTAGTATTATTTTTTTGTGTGTAAAAAAGCATTTAATTTACAATCAGTTTACTATCCGGAGTTATCTCTGGCATGTGAAAAAGTTGAATATTAGTCTTTATATGATAGTTTTTAAAACAAGGAACAACACAAAAGTGATAATTTTCAAACACTAGTGAAGTGATACACCATTTTTTTTATCTCTTTTTTTTTCTATGTAAATTCAGCAACTATCATTTATATATGACAGAAAATACTTGTACAGTCCCACTATCCAACAGCCAAACTCCCAAACAAAACTTGGCTAACTTCCAATCACAGCACATTATTATTACTTTGCTTTCAGCCGAGTAAAAACGTGATAAAACAAAACGTACTGACCAATTCTGCTACGCCTGAGTTTTCTCGGGATAATAAATATTTGCAATATATACATATCCGAGTTAACTCGGTATAATCAGGGAAGCGGTTAATGCCTGAACACTAAAATTAAGATGGTGTAAAAATATGACTTAAAAGAAGTATCAACTTGTTGTTGTGAGCTGGTTTAACAGAGAAACCACTTATTTTTTGCGTAATAGTCCTAATTTTTTCGAAACCTCCTTAATGGCTTTTACAAATGCATTACCGTCTACTAATATTATGATTACGTAAAAAATGCGTCCAAAAAACAGTGGTAAAAGGCTTTAAACTAAATGCTATAAATGCTTAAACTAAGAGGGAGTTGCTGTGCTTTGAATTCAGTCCCAAATATAAATAAACTCTTAAAAATATATATTAAATGGAATAATGCTGTTTCTTCGAAATACATACTTAAATTGATACACTTAGGATATCACTTTTTATTTTCTTGGAGAAGATAAAAAATGATAACACAATAATTTTAAGTTTCTCTTTTAAATGCCCTTTACCGGAAAAATCTTTAACTTCGAATGATTTTATCAATCTTTTTAAATTTTAGAAAGAAAGATATAANCCATATATATATATATATATATATATATATATATATATATTTCTTTTTGTTTATTTTATTTGTTAACAATAGCTAAATTGATAAAATTAGCTTAAATCCTGTCTGGCCTATTTCATGTAATGGTCTATTTTACTTTATAACTAATAAAATATTTTTTTCTGACATAATATTGGAGCAGATATTAATGAATAACATTGTTTCTATTTTAGAATTCCGTGTTGGAAGGCGTGTTGAGCCGATGCTAATACGAATCTATGAAGTATATAATCCTGGTGCAATTGTAAGGATATTAGGATATTGTTCTGACAGAGAAAAGTTATTATTATTTTATTCATTCAATGATGTCTGAAGCTCTATTTAACGATATTCTGTTGTAACAGGGTGCGTAGCGTTTGTAAAAAGTACTTAAAGGTGCTTTTTGGGAGGTTTCGTTTTTAAAAGCTTTTAAAAGTGCTTTTTTTTCACGAAATATTTTTTTTCCTTCAGTGATATCTGACGGATCCCCTGCATTTCACGAAAAATGGAGTGTTTGCTACGTAATCATTCACACGGACTTCATGTCATACCCACGATCTGACCTGCGCATGCGCGCACACTCGAAACTGAAACCCGAGTGCTCCAATTCGAATAGAGTCAGATCCTTATTAAATGTTTTTCTTTTTAATTTATAATTTTATTCTTGTTTATTTTATTTCACTTCTAACACTTTTTTGATGTAGGGGGTAAGGGTACTTTTGTTCTGAGTTCAGAGTCAAGTTGAATTCACTCGGTGATGTGGGAAAGTACTGATTGTTTCGATTTACGTCCGTTTCTTGTTGAGTTTTTTTTTTAATGCTAAAACTGTTAATAAAAATTTTTTGTTTTTCAATAATATCATTGATTGAATATGAATTTTTTGNTAATTTTATTCTTGTTTATTTTATTTTACTTCTAACACTTTTTTGATGTAGGGGGTAAGAGTACTTTTGTTCTGAGTTCAGAGTCCAGTTGAATTCACTCGGTGATGTGGGAAAGTACTGATTGTTTCGTTTTACGTCCGTTTCTTGTTGAGTTTTTTTTTAATGCTAAAACTGTTCATAAAAATTTTTTGTTTTTCAATAATATCATTGATTCAATATGAATTTTTTGAGTGCTTGAAAATTTTTGTAAAGTGCTTGAAAAGTTTTTAAAAAGTGCTTATTTTTGATTCAAAGATTTGGCTACGCACCCTGTGTAATTTTGCTACTAATGATGTTAAGTCATGAAAAGATTGGTTCTACAAATTTGATAATAAAACATAATAAGAGAAGTTTAAACATTAATTTTTGAAAATTAATCCTGCAGTAAACTGTAACTATTTGTTATAGTATTATAATATTTTTTTTTTAAAAAAAGAAACTATTATATTTAAAAAAAGTTTTAGATGTATTTTATTTGGCTCTTTGTGGAACTTTTGAGCATCTGGTAAAAATTTTCAATTTATAATTATATGAGATTCATTAATAAATAAAAGCAAACTGTTACCATCTCCATTTGTTTCATTACCCATGTCATTAAGAACCTGCGTAGGATGTCTAGATCTTTTTCAATGTCAATTAGCTTTATTTTTTTTTTAAATAGATCTTTGATATTTTTTGCTTGATATATTACATTGTTTGGTTTAAGTGGAGATCTCCCTAGAAATAAATAAATTAAAAAAAAAAAAGACTGGCTATTTGTGTATATAAAATGCCTAGGCATTCTATCTAATGCAGGATTTCAAACTATGTCCGCAATATATATATTAATCTTATAAAAGTTATTTGAACAAAAGTTTAAAAAAATACTTTGGATATTAAGATAAATAAGAATATTTAATATTAACCTACCATAAAAATAATCTTCAATGGTTGCTGCAATTTATAGCTTTTATTTTCTCCTACTTAAAAAAAAATTTGTATCTTTTTTTGAATATTTTTTTTGAAATAAAACATATTTTAAAATGGGTGAAGGAAACATTTTAAAAAAATGGTATTTGTCTCTATGAAAGGCTGGTAGGGTTGGTCTCTTTTCAGAAAAATAAATAAATAAAATAAATACTCAAGGAAAATACTGATATAGTTACTGAAAACAATTTTTTATTTTTTTAATATCTTACTTAAAATAAGATAAAATTTGAATAATATATAATTATTTATATTTCTGTTTATATTAAACTGACTTTAACAATTTTGAAGAATGCTTAAATATTTTAATTTCCCCTTATTTAAATATTTTATTTGTAGATGGGTTACTTTATGGGCTGGTGCACCCAAGCACTTACCACCAAATGAATCACATTGTTTTTCAGTAGAGTTTGAAAAAACTGATCTTCTTTCTGAGTAAGTTGCTTTCATTTTATCTATTTATATAGCTTACATATTATAAATTAGTTTTACTATAATCTCCCGATTTTAATATTTTTACCTTTGTGATGTATTTATATTATGATAGGAAACAAATTAAAATGAAGAATATTTCAATAATTTTAGTTGTCACAAAAAATTTCTGAAGTATATTTTCAGAGAAACATATTGACTGATAGCTGAATTTTACATATGTACAGAAGATCTATGTATTCCAATTCTGTAAACTGCAATTCTACATATGCCACAGTAATTTTACTCTCTTGCCAGCAAACCAAAATTGATAAATTTGTTTGATTTTGTTGTTAATGTTCTTAGTAATTCAATTTTTTTACTGTAATTAATGACTTAAGTTCATATTTTTTCGAGGATGGGGTATTGAAATCTAAATACAAAAGTCATTCATTGTGGGGAAAAGAAATAAGATAAGTACATAATCCCCAGTGAGTCTTCTCTTGTCAGAAAAGATGGAGAGATTGACAAAATAAGGTTGAAATTTGAAGAAAAAAATTGTTTTTCAGAGAATTATTGCTTCAGAGAATATCCCAATATGGAGGGGCGGGTAACATTAATTCATATACAAATTCGTAGGGACCGCGAAGCATTGTAATCGAGGGAGTTATTGTTGTATCGGATATTGTAGTAGCAAGAGTTCACTGTATATTGAATTTTTTAGTTTAGTTCAATGATAATGTGAAATTATCTATGCTACAGAAAATTCTACAGAATGCTAAAGTTTGCATCATAAAATCTTCTGCTGCTCCATAATTCCATACATTTTGCTGTTGTTTAACATACACTATTTTTTTTCACTTTTTCATTCATTTTTCTTTATCATTTAAGGGATAATTTATTATAATAAATAATTATTTTAGAATTAATGATATTTAAATATTTATTTTTCTTTTTAGAATAAAAATTATTTATTTTTTTACATTCTAATACTAGCCACTTTGATTCATTTCATTTAGCTATTTCCGAATAGAGTTTCATCACAGACACTTGAACTATTACTGTGAACTAGACAGTCTTGTTCTATATGGTGAAGATAAATTCTCAAATTACAGTTTATCGAGTTCTGCTATCCCGTCTGCCCTTCAAAGAATGGTTAATTTTTCACTTCATGAAAATTATCAAACTCCAGCCTCTTCCTTTTCATCAGTCTATTTACCTGATCATCATGCATCATTTGATAATTTGCCTGTGAGTTTGATGTTTTACTCCCTAGTGTCTGTTTTGTTTTACTCCCTGAAATTTAAAACTCTTAAAATGGAAGAGCCAACTCATCTACCATTATACAAACCAGTCCTGTGGACTTTTGATGTAGAGCTTTTTGTGAAGTTTAATTATTGACTTTAAATTGAACTAGCAAACCAAGTCAGTAATTTGAAAACTTCAGGTCCTCAGGATTTGGGTGTTTTTTTTTATTTTTATGATGAGTGTTACCCATTTAAAATCTCAATTTTAAAGATACACATGAAAAGTAAATATTTTGTGTTCTAGTTTTTGAAAGATGCTATTTTTATTAAAAGCTCAAATTTAAAAATCTTCTAAGTCTTCTAAAAACTTGCAAAATTTTATGCAAAATAACATAAGTTTGCTTTATAAGCACTTTTTGAAGATATAAATGATCTGTGATATTGAGCAGTCAATAAATTCTCTACCTCTTTATCAATTAATTTAATAGGAGCATTTATAGGCTTTCCATCTATTATTGATAGACAAAGCAAGGAAAGAGTTATCACGATTTATATACGATTATACGATATGAAGAATTACAATTTTTAATTAATTATATACAACTAATCAAATGCACGCATTAAGGAAAAGCGACTATGTATTATTATACTCACAAAATTATCCTTCTGATGAGACAGGAATGAAAAAAAGAAAAGAATAATTTTATTTTCTAACATTGGATAATTTTGCACAGACTGAAACAGTTCTGTGGTTTGCATCCCATTTTTTTTTTTATGCTCTAGAGAATTATGCATTCCATAGTTCACATCAACTTTATTTTCGCTTCCTATCTTGTTGTATTTGACACATTATAGATCGTAAGTGAAATCACTGTTTAAATTATTCTGATCCTCTCTTTAAAATATTTTTTTCTTTTTTTGAAAAATAATGATGTATAAATAGCAGTAGAAGTGATGAGGATCCTAATGAATTTTTTGTAGACCTAAATGTAGGAACTCTTTCTTTACATCAATAGTCACCTATCAATCAACACTTTGTTTAATTTTTTTTTCTTGCAGTATTAATTATAAATCTTCTAAATTTCTTAACTCCTTTTCAAGAGCTGTATTAAGATCAAGAATTTATTAAAGGAAAGACCAGATTTTAATAGCTTTATCAAAATTATTAAAGTGAGAAAAAAAATGTTGTCAAAATTAAGTTGTTATAGTTTTAAAGTGAGTTTAAGTAGTAAAAATAAATTGAACCTTTCTAAGCAAGCTTGTGTAACATTTTCCTGTATGCTACAACAAAACTGTAAATTTTTTAAAAATAATGACTATGTGAATAATAAAAATATAGAGATGACTGGTGCCCCCTTTTTTTAAAATTAGATTATTTTTCATCCAAAAATCTAAAAGATAAAACAATTTTCATGTTTGACAATAATAACGGTTTTGGCATTCATATTGGAAAAGCTAATCGTGCATGAGGAGTCAGCTATTATTGCAACAAAATGTAGTAGAGTTGATTTGCTTTAAAATGGAAGACCAGTTGGCTCACCTAATTTTGATTACCTAACTTGTACAAAATTAACACAATCTTCTCTTATTTTTTAGAATGAAGTTATACACCTAATAATTAGCTACTTAGATCTTCAAAGCTTGTGTTCTGTTGCTCAAGTATCAAAGTTAGTAATTTTTAATATCATTGTAATTATTATTTTTTCATTATAAACAGTCATTTTCATGTTTCATATATTTATTCTCAAAGATATTTTTTTAATTTTTATTCGGTTTTTCCATGTATGTTTATTTATTTTTAAAAGATAAAGTTTTTTCTTAATACAGTTTTTTGCAGGACCAAAGTCACGATTTTATTTTGAACTTCTTGAAATGTATGTGTATTCATGCATTCTTTTATTAAAACCATGCAATTCATGTTAATTAATAAGTTAGAGTTTTAAATTATGTTAATAAGATTAGACATTTATTTTCTCGTTATTCCCGATTAGTATACTGTGTATGAATGTTGCATCCTAATATTCTCAAAATGTGACAATATCTTTTTATTTACAAAGAACATTTTGAGTTTGAATGTTTCGTGTAAAGTTCAAACCTTGCTGCTAATTTTACAATTTATATCTTTACACCTTTTTGCCTAATAACTAGAATTTCAGTATTGCAACACAGGTTGCATTTATTTTTCTACATAAACATCATTACAAAATTTTTTTTTTTAATAAATGTGCATTTTTTTTTAAAAGAAAAAAAATATTTGAAAAATTTTTGAGTTCTGTGCTAAGCATTTGTGGTCTTAATATTATTACATATATGTTTGAAAATCCAGATTAACCGATTCAATATGTCAAAAAATTTATATTTCTTACCTAGTGAATTATTTTAAAGAAAATTTTCTTTACCCAAAATACATTCAAAATTAAATATTGTTAAATAATTTATTTAATGTGACAAGATGTGATTAACTTCAAAAAAGTGAAAAATAAATATTTTTAGGAGAGATAAGTTAGGTTGCTATAATTCAATTTTATCAAAAATATTTATCCAAGATATTTTATCAAAAATATTTGTATTTTGTCTGAAATTCTTTTTCTTTTTGCAGACAGTGCATTTATACTTGATAAACATTAGTAGTTAAAATTTGCTGCCTTTCTCTTTTAATGTTAAGACTCCTGCTACCCCCTTAAGGGCTAATTATTTCGCTTTGCTCTCCTCAAATAAAGGTTTTGCACTTCTAGTCTAAAACGAGCAAAGATGGGATCTTAAATGGAGCTCAGAAGTTTAATATTTTAAATTTTCATGACATATCTCAAGGTATTAGACACATCGATTGAAAAGACTCTGCAGTTACTCCTAGACTTGATATCAGCAGTTCCAAACTTTTTTAGTTGTACAGACTACCATTTTTGTAAATAAAAAAAAAGAAACTGCTGTGAGGCCTTTTGACTACTAAATTTATTAGTATATATTAGAGTGCTTAGCTTTTTTTAAAAAGTGTTTATTTTTGATTATCGTTTTTTAAAAACCCTTAAAGGTGCTTTTTTATTAGGTGTTTTTAAAAAGTGCTTAATTTTCTATTTCTAAATTGAGAATATTTTTTTTTTTACCATGATGATTTTTGCCACGTATTATGCAAAGGCGGGTTTTTCATATTGTTCTATTCAACATTTTCGCAAATCATTCGAACACAACGTATTTGGACGTACCGTCGTTCCCTAGCATATAAAAGTTCTTATCATTTTTCATGTAAGGTGAAATGCTTGCAGGTCCGAATGTGCATACTCTGAGCTGGATTCTGTGGGAATTATTCTTGTTCTCTCATGCGCAACTCTGCTGCATTTTGCAAGAGATTCTCAATTTCATGCTTCATTTTCCTCCCTCTGAAATCGAACAGAAAAATCTCTATCTTTTTCTGGTGGCTAATGTAATCAAGAAAAAGAGTTCTTTGTCAAAAACTAATTATTTTATCATGGTCATGTAAAGTCCTTGAAAGTTATTTTGCATTTTGTTAATGTATATAGTGCTTACAAATATTTTTTGAGTGTTTAAAAAGATACTTTAAAGGTACTTATTTCTTGTCGAAAGATTTGGCTATGCACCCTGTATATGTATGTAGACTGGGGAATCTCAGCCTTTCATCCCTTTAGTGGATCAATAAAATGAGTACCAAGCATGCTTGGGAACTAAACACTGGGGGTTCCGTGTTCGGCTGACAACCCAAGCCGGACATCTGCTCTAGCACCCCAGAGCCCAAGGTCAAGAAAGCTAAGATAGGCACAGTAAGCCTTGCCCTTCTATAGGCTGTCGCGTCACTGAATTTAGTTTAGATTAGGGAATTGTTCCCCAAAAATGGTATTAGACTTATAAGATTTATTGTAGCTTAGACGCTTGACTAGAATCCATGACTTAATTCCATACGACGCTATGCACAGTCTATAAGTTAATGACAACTAATCTATATCATTGCCTATATTATGTTTTTAATAAGGAAGAAGATTTATCAACACTGTCGATATTTATAAATTTGGCTGAAACTATTTTTAAAGTCTATAATGAATCAATAGTTTAATTTCTTACATTATACTTTTTTTAACCCCTTTTTCCCTATCTTTTATTTAAAAAAAATTTTTTTGTTAAATTTTATGCAGTAAGAAGCTTTTTGTTTTATTTTTCTCCTGATTGTTTAGTGAATCGTTAATTATAATGTGATGAAGTCAATCTGCTATTAAATATATCATCATTCTTTTATCCCTTTATTTATGCAACTAAGTTTTTATTTTATTTATTATAACAGGACTGCTTCATTTTATTTTATTGTTATTTTACAAGTGTTATATATTTCTAGGTTATTTCACAAAATTTGCTATGATCCTGTGTTATATAAAGATTTAAATCTGCAAACTTATTGGCCCCTGGTAAGTTTTTTTTGTTTCAACCTTTTAATCCTTTAAACTTCTCATACATGGCATGTGTAATAGAAGTTTTTTAATAGCATATTTTAATAATTTAATAGCATATTATAATAGCAATGGAATTTTTTCTCTCTCCTTGAAATACCAAATAATAATATTGAAGTGGTTTATACAATTACTCTCAATGAATAAATTAGTCTGTTTTTTGAACATTGATTTCAAATTCTTGTAATATCAGTAGATATTTTGTTTACATAGACTTGCATTGATCCTATGATGTTATTTTAAGTAATGATTTTATTTTTAAATATAAATAATATTTTGTGAAATTTTCAGTTTTTACAATTTAGCATCATAATAAGAAAATTTAGCTGTGCAGTTTAATTTTAACTTCAATGAGTTATTTTTCAAACTATTAGTAAATTAAAGTTAAGTCTTCAAGATGCTTTTTAAAAGTTCTAATTTTTTATAATGCTGTGATTAAATAAGATGTATTTAATGTTCAAAAAATTATTATTTACAACTGAGTTTAATTTATATTGCTGTCTTGTTTTTTATTCTAAATAGAATTTTGATTTTTCTAATACTTATAACTTATTGTTCCTGCTTTTTAATTAAGCTTACAACGTGAAGGAAATTAAAAATTATTATCCATAATTGGTTTAAAATTATTGTTGTCTTGTTTTTTATTCTAAATGAAATTTTAATTTTTTTCTAATATTTATGGCTTATTGTTCCAAGTTCTTAATTAAACTTACAGCATAAAAGAAAGAAGTTATTGTTTGAAAAGTAGTAGTTATTGTTTAAAAATTATCACCTATAATTGTTTTAAAGTTATTACTGTCTTGTTTTCCATTCTAAATGAAATTTCGATTTTTTTTCTAAAACTCATAGCTTACTATTCCAAGTTTTTAATTGCAACTTAAAAGAAAACTTTCAGCATAAAGGAAAGTAGTAGTTATTGTTTAAAAATTACCATCTATAACTGGGTTAAAATTATTGCTATCTTGTTTTCTATTCTGAATGGGATGTTGATTTTACTAATACTCATGCCATACTGTTTCAAGTTTTTAATTAAACTTACAGCATAAAAGAAAGTAGTTATTGTTTAAAGATTATAATCTATAGTTGAATTAAATTTATTACTGTCTTGTTTCCATTCTGTATGAAATGTTTATTCTTCTAATATTTACAGCTTACTGTTCCAAATTTTTAATTAAACTTACAGCATAACCTTTTTAATTCATATTTATTTTAGTTAAAAGATCTCCTGAATTAGTATATAAATATACCTTGTAATTAACAATGAAATAGTTCACGAGTTTTCAGAGAAGTTTTGTCTCAATAGAATGATTTGAAATTAATGTATTTAATCAGAATTCGCCACTTAACATAAATGTTACTGTATTTCTCAAATTATATATATATTCTTTAAAATTCTTTTAATTGAAGTATACTTTATGTATTTTGCTCAGGTTGACATTACTGCATTGAGAGGATTGGAATCTAGACTTTCGTCATTGAAAACCTTGAATTTATCTTGGTGTGGCAGTCAAGGTAGAATCACTGCTCATTACTTCAATGAGTAAGATTTGTCATCAGTCTTGTACATTTACTGATGTCCTAATATCAACAATTTTTTTTAGTGTGTTGTTACTTGCAATTCACATGCAGACCTACTAACTCTCAGGCTTCAGACCTGAGTTTCTGGCTTTCGTATCCAATCTCTGGAACTCAGGCCAGCACTTTATCAGGGTATCTGTGCAAGTCCCGAATTAAGATTGCCGAAAAATCTTAATTTTTAAAATAAAATTTACCCTTCCCCCCCAATTTCAAGGTGTTTCGAATATCTGAATTTGTAACAAAATCCCCACTCAGTGTCATATTTTATTAAAATATGAAAAGTTTTTATCATGTTCTTTAAAAATTATGGCGTTCTTTAAAAAAAATGGAAAAAAAAGCATCATTTCTAGAGCGAATTATCTTTTAAACTTCTGTGATTTCAGAATTTTTGTTATTATTTTTATTTTTTTATTTTATCAATTTAAAATTCTAGCTGAAGCAAGCAGTCATTACCAATTTTTTTTTATTTCAAAATGAGAACAGAAAAATTGGAAGTATTTCTTTCCTTTCCAATAAACCAGAAAAGTATGTTTAGATTATTAATTCTGCTGGAAAAAAAGAAGAAAAAAATGATTTGTTTTTGTATTTTTTGCAGCTATTTTATTGCTTCAACTCTTTCTTTACTCTGTTTTTTAAATTTGAAATCTATAAATATGAAGATGCAGAGTATAACAGTTTTGGTTATACCTATCATTTCAATTAATATTATTATAATGCTTTTTTAAATTTATTGTTGTGTTTTTTTGGGAGAAAAATAGTAACTTCGTTAAGTCGTGAAAAATTCTTGGAATTAGTCATGAATTTGAAAACTTAAAATATAGCAGATACCCTGAATTGTGTTTTGTTTACTTCTTTTTTAGAAACTTTAAAAACAATAATAAACCCAAAAAAAAAATTATCACATTGTTTATAACAAAGCATATTCCGATCATTTCTATTCAAGGATTTCTCATTCTGAAATATCTTATTCTAATAATTTGAATATTATTTCAATTGTTTCTGTTTTGAGCATCAACTTTATTGTTGATAGTTGAAAGTTTTCCTGTTTTAAAAAAACATGTCTAAGCTCGTTCCTTGAAGTCCTAGAAACTCAGAATAATGCCTCCTAATTACATTGATTTAAAGTTATGCTGATCAAGTGTGTAAATTTTGCTGGAAATTCAATTAAAATACTTCTAAAAGCTGTGAAAAAGAATTAATTTGGGATACCTAAATGTTCTATTATTTATTCAAAAAAGAAAAAAAAGGGTAGAAACGGGGGGCAAATTTCAAAATATTATCCAATGCTCAATTTAGATTCAATTTATTATCAGTTAATACATATCATCTAATATTATTATTATTATTATTATTTTTGCATTTTTAATCCATTTACATTTATAAAATTATCTAAAAATTTATATTAAAAAAATATTCTTTTAGCAGTATGTTGATTTTACTGTTATGACAAAATATTGATTTTACTGTTATGTTTGACAACCACCATGACTAAATGTTATGTATGATGTATGATAAATAACTCTCTTGATATTTTATCAAAATATCAAGAGAGCATCAGAATTTTTTTTTCTGAATGCTTGTGGCAACATTATTTTTAAATTGTTATTTTGTTTAAATATGTATTAAAATGCATTAAATTATTTTTCAAGTCATAATAAATTTTATGGTTTAAAATATGTTAAATAATTTTAATGCCATTTATCTATTTATTATAGAAAAAATCGGGAGAGTATATTTCAATAAATTTAAAAAAAAAAATTCATTTATACGACATGAATTTATTATGCATAAATTTATATAAAATGTTGTTGAAATTCTTAAAAATGGAAAGACAGAATGAATATTTATAAACGATTGTGCAACTATTATGGTGGAACTTTATTTTTTATATTTTAACTAAGAAAAGAAGTAATGATGCATAACAATTTTAAATAGTCTTTATAGTTTTTTTTCAATTTAATAAAAATGTTTCTGTTAAATGTTGAATTTAATCAAGTTGTGTCTCTTGAACAATGAAACCAGAATAATAATATAATGTACATTTATTTTAGATTTGTTACAGCAACATGTCACCACTTAACAGCTTTGAAGCTCTCTAGCTGTAATTTTGTGAATAATAATTGTTTAAAAGCTGTAGCGTCCCATTGCCCTTTACTTCAAGGTGACATTTTAAGTTTTTTTATTTCAGTTTCCTTTTTTTATATTTTTTTGCTATAAAATGCTTATATTTTAAATATAGCATATAGACCTCATAAATGCCATTTAGTTCCTTATAGATATTTGTAATTATTAGACATTTGTAAGTAGATTAATTTATATATTTGTAAGTAGATTAATTTATATATTTGTAAGTAGATTAGTAGTTATTTGTAAGTAGTAGTATTTGTAAGTAGTAATTAGTTAGTTAGATATTTTCAATTCCTTTTGACTGAGATTCTTTTTCCCCTTTTGATGAACACTTTTCAACAAAATAATTTTGAATAATCTTCTTTTAATTGAAAAAAAAATTCTTCCTTTCAAAGTAAGGATTTTTTCTTTTCTTTTTTGAGATAAAAAGTATTGATTGTCCTGAAGAAAAAAAAGAATGAGGCTTTTAAGAAATACTACTATTTTTAAAAGATTTTTAAGCTAAAAAAATTGTCATTTAAATTTGTCAAGAATTCATTAGTTGTAACTTCATTAGCAAACTCTTAGGCTTCAAAATAAACTTTTAATAGTAAAACAGTTATTTTTAAAGATAAAGATCAATCAAAATATCAAGTTTGTTCTGTTTCGTTTTTACAGCCAATAAAGTTATAAGCCAGGGTTGGGATTTTGGGTGTCCTAAACTGGTTTTGAATTGGGCATTTGGGTTTTACTGTCTTAAACTGTCCTAAAGTGACTAAAACTGACTTAAAGTGTACAAAACCTTGAACATTGGTTAAAGGTAAAAATTCTATATGTGTATCTATTGTACACATAATAATTACATATATTAATAAATATTTGATACTTTTTATACAATTTGCTTTAACTTATTAAAGGAAAATAATATAATANCAAAATAATATAATAGAAAAAAAAAATTATAACTTTTGAAGCTCCACAATTAATTGAACAACAAAAGTGAATGCCTTATCCCTTCAATATGAATAAATATGCTTTTAATACTAATAAATTATGTTTTTGATTGTGTTTCATAAGGATAAATTATGCAATATTAAAAATAATAAACTTTTTAATGAAACTAAAACATGTCTTCATTTTGTTTCTTGTTCAAAAATTAACATTTTATTTTTCCCAATATTTTTTTTAAAATTGTGACATAATTTGAGTGAATAGATTTTGGACAGTTTTGGACTGGACGGTTTAAACCCTGGATTAATCCATTTTGTCCTAAACCTTACCAACTTATAACATAATTCTTCTCTTCAAAATTGATTTTAAAGTATGACCAGTTCAGTCATGAAAGGAATTTATTTGTTTTCAGGGTGATTTCATCTAGTGATATTCTAGCATTGTAGTTTTTTAAGGTTAACTTTTTAGCTTGTTTAAATGAAAATTATTTATTTCAAATTGGATGCCTTCGTTGGACAAATGTTAAATATGCAGGAGTCTTATATAATACTTTAAAACCAATATCACGATATTACTTTGAAATCTCTAATTTTTTTAATAAATGATAAATTTTTATTTTGAATTTGATAATTCAAAAAATAATTGATAATACTTTTGAGAGAATCCTTTGATTAATAATACTTTTCCTTTGATTAATAATACTTTTGAATTGAATCAGTTTTGAAGGTTTTATTTTTCTATCTTGTTTCATATGTGTAGAGCAAAATTGAAATTTTTATTCTCTTTTTCTCATAGCATGTAAAAAAATCCTGTAAAATAGGTACCAACAACAATTAACATAATAAATGAAAAATTACAAACGTTTTGCAAGTGGACAAAAAAAAAAGAAAAAAATTTGTTTTTGTTTCTCCAAGTCTCACCCAAAAAGAAAGATACTATTTACAAAAAATAGAACCATTCTTTGTGTGTACTTAAAAAACAAATTTTTTATAAAAAAAAGTTCAGTAAATTATTTTCTTTTTTAATTTTGTCTGGTAATTTTTTTACATGAAAAATAAATGAAATTATGATTGTAACTTCAGGCACTGAATTCCAACTGAAATTTGTGCCTTCCAGTTAGTCGAAATTTTAACTGACGATAAATTCTTATTCGAGACTTCATTTTGGCAAGGATTGAAGCTTGTATTTTTGGCAGTTCTCCAATTGAGATTTGATAACTTTAGCTAATGGGAAAATGATCGGAATTTTATTTTATGATAAAATTCCTATGACTACAAATTTTGCTTTTCGCAGTCAGGAAACGATGATTAAAATTTGTGATGTCATCCAGCACAGAGGTCCAGTTAAAATTTAATTACTTTAACTAGTCAGACTTTTGATTATAAATTTCTTTTGATGATAATATTACAATAAATCCTGCTTTTAATGAACAGGAAACAATTAAAAGTTTAATTGTTACTCAGCACAAATGTTTCAATAAAACTTGAGTACTCTAGCTAGTCAGAATATATATAAACTAGTTGTTACTAACACCGTTTACTAAAAACCATTTTTATATACTTCAATAATTATACCATTGTATATCTTAAAATGTTTTTAAATTGAATGAAATTAAATAAAGTTTCATTTAATATATTTAAATTCAGCTGTATATGTGTAATTTCAGATGTATATGTCTTGGAAATCAAATTTACATCTCTCTGTTTCAGAACTTGAATTGAATTCTTGCCGGTCGAAGGACTTGACTCAAATTGGTTTTAGATATATTTCTGAAATAAAACACTTGAATCACCTAGCTTTATATCGCTCTCTCATCGATAAATCATCAATTATTTCCATTATAAAGTAAGTTTACTTTATTTACGCAATAGACTAAACATGAAAAGATTGATTTACAGCTATAGCTTATTTATGATTACTAATTACTGTAATCAGGGTTCATCAGCACTAGAAATTTTAGAGAAAAGAAGATTGGACAATAAAAGCTGAGTGGGGGAGGGTACGTAACTTTAACACAAAACCCGGAATTTTCTGCCCTATGTGGACTTTCATGCTTTTGTTTGTAGTTATGTAAAATATTAAGAAATAATAAAATCAATGGCGAAATAGATGATCACTTGATAGAATATCGAGATTCTGCTTTTCTTCATTATCATTTCTGGAGATAAAGAAGCAGTGATGGATCTGTATGATTTATAAAAACTTAAAACTTCTGTCCCCACATTCTAAGAACTATGTTTTTAAAATAGTGTTAGAGCGCAATGGGACATACCAACACTCTTACATTTTACGATCGATTCAAGCTTTCTGGTTACAAACCCTGCCTTCAGAAATCGAGTCACAGATCTCTTGAATTCCACCGAATAGAAGGGCAAACTTAAATTTGACTTTCTTTTCTGCAAATTTTATAATTCAGTTCTATTCAGATGATGCCACTTTATCACTACCGCCGATGGTGTCTGTTTCACTGTTGCATTATCACTGGAATGCTAATGGTGTTAGTGTACTTTTTTAATTTTACGCCAGTACCACAATCCTTGGATTTGGGAAACGTTCACTAATCCAAGTTTTTCATCTTGGTTTAAAACAGTCAACGACAGAACCTCACCACTTCTTAATTTTCCTCTTCCTTATTCGACAAATAAAAATTTCCATTCCTGAAATTTTTATCTTGGGTCTCTTCACTGATTTCACAAAGTATAAGGCTTTTTATCTGTCCTACTGGATTTGTGATTTTCAGAAATTTCAGTACTTATTATTATGAAGGAAAAAAATTAATAAATCAATCCACATTTTAATAAAAAATGAATTTAGAATAAATATAATGAATTCTTTAATATTTTAAGCATAAGCGGGAACAAATTTGAGGATATTTAAATTTGTCTTTTCAAAAATTTTAATTAAACTAACATTTTAGTTAAAAAATAATTGATATTAAGAATTAAATGATCATGGAATAAAATGGTTAATTGATTAGAGAGATCATATATGGGAGAAGGACATATATGATTATCTGTATGGATATAGATATAATATGTACATTTTTCACTTGTCAAATGTTTTTTTTAAGAATAATGTTGACGATTTACTACAATCTGGTTTATATCTGAAATTAAAAAGTTATTTAGTTTTTCCATATGATTTTTTTATAAGCGATAGTTTTTGTCCACACTAGGCCCCATTACACGAGGCTGGTTGGGAAAAGCTACGAACTAATGTAGACAAACTTGATAATTTGTTAAGTAGTCATTTATTACAAATCAAAAAAGTTTATTTAAATCAAAAATGAAATTAATTTCAATCTAAGTCTTATTGGAGAATAAATATTGACTTAAATGAATTAAAATACTAATTTGTAATTGAGCATTTCACTATAAAAAAGACCTTTTAAATGCAAATCAATGCACTTAAAACCATTTTTTAATTTGGTTTGTTTGATAATAATTTCAAATTTTTTATTTAATCAAAAAAATAGAAATATCGCCTTTAAATGTATATTCAGATGCAGTCCTGGTAGTTCTACCAGTTACTGGCAATGGAAGTTAAGTAACCATTTCTTCTCTTGAAATGTGTTTTTTGTTTGTTTTGTTTTTAATTCTGAAAAAAGTTAAAATTTATGGTTAACTATACTATATACGAACTATAGCAAGATTTCTTTCTTAAGAATTCAGTGTACAGAGCATTTTTAATAAGTACTAACAGTGCTTATTTTTGATTTTTGTTTTTAAAAACCCTTTTAGGTGCTTTTTTATTTAGGTGCTTAATTCTCTCTGTTAAAATTTTTTCAAGATTTTCAAATTGAAAATTTTCATTAGTTACCAAATACGATTCTCTACAAAATTATGGGGGAAACAATGAATAATTTTTTCTGCACATACACAGTTATAAAATAACTCTAAGCGTTTTTTGAGAAACATAACATAATAGAGCATTCGTGCACAACACTGTTTCAACAATGCACAAAAGTGATTAGCACAAAGTCATTAACTCTAATTGAATCAGTGCTCGTAAGAAGTTCCAATTTATTAATATTGATCTGATATCATTGCTATTTAAAATAAACTAAAGTTGCTAACTTTTAAATGAAAAAATTCACCACCTAAAGCATGTCCGAACTAGCCCTACCTTGACATATGTTTGTTTATGCTTAATTCTGATTGATCAGAAATATACAGAGCAAAAGTTTATATTAAAATGGGTAAAAAACAGTATCATTTAAAACATTGTCACCCTCAGTTTAAATTCTGAAAACAAAATATGTTAATAAAAAAGTAAAGAAAAAATTTAACTGTTACTTTGCACCTTAAAAACATTCTTTTCCAATTTCTACTAAAATATTCATAGTCATGGTGCATAGCTTTTTTAAAAAGTGCTTAAATATACTTATTTTCGATTTTCGTTTTTTAAAAGCCCTTAAAGGTACTTTTTTCATTGGGTGTTTTTAAAAAGTTCTTAATTTTCCTTTTTCCAAAATGAGATTTTTTTCTTTACCATCTCAATTTTCGCCACATATTATGCCAAAGTGTGCTTTTCACTTTGTCTATTCAACGTTTTCACAATTCGTTCAACCACAATCTATTTCGGCTTCTCGTCGGTCCATAGCGTATGAAAACGCCAATCATTTTGCAGGTTTGATGAAATTCTTGCGAGTCCATGTGCGTCTGCTGAGCTGGGTTCGGTAAGATATCACTCTCACACGCAACTCTGCTGCATTTTGCAAGAAATTCTCAATTTCACAGGCTTCATTTTCCACCCTCTGATATCGAACCGAAAAACCTCTTGGATCTTTTTCTAATGGCTAATATAATTAAGAAAAAGAGTTCTTTGTCAGAAACTAGTTATTTTATCACGATCATGTAAAGTCTTTGAAAACTATTTTGCATTTTGTTAATGTATATAGTGCTTAAAAATGTTTTCTGAGTGCTTAAAAAGTACTTAAAAGGTGCTTATTTTTGTTGAAAGATTTGGCTACGCACCCTGATAGTGTGATTAAGCAACGGCAAACAAAGCAAGACAAAGGAGATTTGACCAATAAATAAAATAGTTATTCAATATGTCCAGTTTAGCTCTCTCTCCTCTAGTAATTTACTTTTGTCTAAAATGTTTTGTTATTCAAAAGTTTTGTTTGTTCCCAAAATTATTTTTAAAAAAATTTTCATTAATAAAATATTGAACCCAATTACTAATTTTAATGAAATATCAAATTTTTAAAGTAAAGGGATATTTTTTATCAATTTTTTTATGCTCATATTAATTTCTCAGTTTTGTAATTTAATGTGATGATTGCATTCAATTCAAAATTTAACAGGAGGTCATTGTGTAATCAGGAGTGATTTTAGGGGAAGTTTGAGTCTGTTAATGGACACTTCCCTTATTTTTTTATGTAAGAAAACTCTTTATAAAATAGTTTATCGTTAAAACAGATCCTTTGCTAAATTTTTAGTACCAAAATGGTTCTTTCAAAAAAATCTACTAATAACTCTAATTCATAATTTAAAACAAAAATTCCTTAAAAGGTATGTTTCTTTTTTCTCAAAAAGAAAATCTTATTTTTACTTAATCACAAAGTTATGAATAGATTTTTCACAAATACGTAGCTTTTTTAGTAAGCATTAAGGTAACATAGTAAGCAGATTTAGGTTGTTAATTAAGAGTTAATAATTGGGAGTTGAATTACTTTTATTTTATCTTTTGTAAATAATTCTAAGTTTGTTTAAAAACTTAAGATATTTTTTTTTCCTTTAGAAAGAGTTATAAGTTTTGTTCTCAAAATTTAAATCATAACAAATTGTCTTAATCATTGATTTTTGCATAAATGTATTTGAATTGATTATTGTTTTATTTTTAGGAAATCAGAGTATTTAAATCAATCTTTGGAATCATTACATTTTAATCATTTCACTGTGGTACATTTTTAATTTACTTTTCATTTTATTTTTTGAATGTTTGTTATTATATATTGTTACAATATTATGTTTATTTTTTGCACTAAATATAATTTACATTTTTATTAAAATTTTGATTCAAAACAAACAACAACAAAAAAACTAGAATTTCATTTAAGTTGATCAGGAAAAGTAAGGAAATTTTTCTTTATTCTCTCTGAATATGAACCTTGTTAAATCGTTTTCTGCAAATTTTGCATATTTTTATTATTGTTTTCACAAGTGTTTTTATATATAAATTAAAAGAAATGATTGTGAATAATTTATAACATTTATAGCTATGAACTCAAAGGTAATTGATGGGTATATTAAGTTGCAAAAAGCTATATAAGTAGCCATTATATTAATTACAACAAATATATTTTATCAAAAGAAAAAAAAAAGTATATTAGGGAAACAAATTTACAGGAAATGCAAGAACATTACAATCAATATTTATTACAAAAAAAAAATAAAAATTGCTAAATATACTTATAATAGAGAATTGAGAAATATTGTTGAGTAATTTTTAAATATACTTATGAGTTGAAGCGAAAGATATACTTGTGTATTAATGAAAATTTATATGTTTTATCAAATTAATTACATATTCAGAAAACAAATTTACAGGACATTTGGGAAACATTAATGGAGAACTTAACTCATTTAGGAAACATAACTATAGAATAATTATTTAATATACCAATGAGATTAAGAGAATGGCATATTTGCAGGATATTAATAACAATCAATGTTTGTTTTATTTCTTCAGAAAAATTTATATTTAAGGGACATTTGGGGGAAATTAAAATGTGTAAGTTTGAGAAATAAATTTAAATAATCTTAAGGGTTTTTTTCCTCCTTGTAAGTAATTTCAAATGTTTAAATGAAACATTATTAATACTGCTTTAAAAAACTGAGAAAATATGTTTTGAATAGAAATTTCAAAATCCTGCATAGCCGCCAACGAAAATCTTTCTGTTGTGTTTTCTGTATTGTATTTTATTTGCTGTATTCCCGTATTTCATGTTCATCATTTTTGTATCTAGGTGTGTCCCGTTAGAGCATCTCTTTTTAGGAAGTTGTACCAACATAGATTCATTCAATGAAGTCGCTCGAGCAATTGCCTCTGATAGAAAGTAATTAACCCTCTTTGTAACTTTTATTTCATTTATTTGAAAATGTTTTAATTTCTATTTTTTTATCACTTAACTTACCCTTCACAGTATAATTACATTACATCATTAAATTTATTTTTCCATATTTAGTTATTATTTTAATTTTTTGTCAGATATTTGCCCATTTTATTACGTTGCGGTTTTACTGTAAAAAATTGAGAAATGTTTAAAAGGATATCAATTATTTATACCGGGATAATTATTTATTATTATTTATATATTTTTATTATAAAATGCCTTAAATTTTTTTGTGTATTCAAATTTAAAAAAAATATAAGATTGTTAGGTTTTTATGTTAATCTTTAACATCTGTACTTTAGCAAGATTTATAACAATATTTGAAACTGAAAAATGTATTTATGTGTAAAAGTGATAACTTTATTTATTTTTCTTGATGAAGTTTGACAAAGTCAAAATTTATTTCAAAAGGGTTAGAGAAAAAATATGCAAAATATACATTTTTGCAAGTTTTTTATAATAACTGCTTTTTAATTTTTAAAAAAAAATTTCTAGTTATCTTTTACACAAAGTTTTTAAATTTTTGATAAGTCCTTAAAATTTTGGACTCCTTGGATTTCTTCTTCTGATCTCTGTATGAACCCTGTTTATAATTTAATTTTTACTTAAGGATTTAGTGCAATAATTGACTATAAATAGTTAGGAAGACCTGCTTCTAAAGACTATAATTATATTATCTAATTTTTTGGTATTTGACAAATTGTTAAAAATAATAACAATTTCATAATTGCCTAAGTTATGTTCAATTCATAAACATATTTTATATTGGGGAAAAAAACATGTCGAGATTTTGGTGTTTCACGGCAGTAATTGATTGTGCTTATTTATTTGACCTATTTGTTATGTTATTTACCTCTTACATCTAAGTGTATTATTCGTTGTTTATTTAGACAAATAAAAACACTAGATTTTTGGAGAGCTTCATCTTTAAGTTGTCTGGGTATCTCAGAACTTGCTGAACATTGCAATGAAATAGTTGAAATTGATCTTGGTTGGTGGTAAGTTTTTGATTTATTGTTCATATAGAATTTAGTCTGGTTTAAAAAAAAATTTTTTTTTTACCATTTTTACTTTACTTTAACTATAATTGTTTTATTTTTAATCTAGCCATAAAATAGACGCCCGTTGTGGATGCATTCGGGCACTGATAACTCGCTGCACTAAATTGAAAAAGCTCTTTTTGAGTGTTATGCGGTAAGTGGTTTAAAATAAATCATGTCAGAGTAATTATTAAGGGATTTATAGTATTTATTTAATTTAGGCTACTCATTTTTAAAACTCATGTTAATAACTACTTTTTTATTTATATTTTTCAAAAAATAGTGATAAAATTTATACTCAAAGTGGCGTTCTTTTCTTATTTAATTGGAATTTTAAAATTATGAAGTACAAGTAATTTTTATCATAGTAGTTACAATTCCTCCAAAACCATGCCAATTTTGTAACTCTTTTTAAAATATACAAAGAAAAAAAAATTTATCCTTGGAAAACACACATTCACGAATAAACACAAATTCCATGATGCTTGGCGATCAGACTGTGCTTTCTCTATTTTTACATGAAACTTGCTTTACATTACAATTTAATCATCTTATCTAGAGTATTTACATTTAGTGCAGTCAATCAATTTCTAGTGAATGTGTCATTAAAATCTACATTCACCTTGACAAAAAGTTTCTGCGCTAAGTTGAATTTTTAAGCTTGCAATAAGTTTTTTTAATGTAATGTTTGAAATAAGTTTTTTTTAGTAAAATTTGTGCATTCCCTTCATTTTATATTTTTGAGTTTGTGGAAAGTTTTCTCAATCGGACCAAAAAAGTGTATAATTTGTGTATTATGCTCTAAAGCTTCATTATGTTGTGTTATGCAGTTTTTAATTTGCATGTATACAATATTAATGTTATCCAAAAATATCTGGTAGTGTTTAGATCCTTGTTACCAAAAAGTATGGACCAAATTACACCAAATCCTAGACATATTTCTCAGTAAGTAAATTACTTTATCAAATTTTAAGTAATATTTGAAAATCTATCAGAATTCGTTAAAATCACTCTTCTGGGGTATTGTAATTAGCTCTTCCCCCCTTTTTTTTACTGTTACATATTTTTATAGTAAATGTTACAATCAAATTTTCACACTATTTTTAGAGTTTTGCATATGATTTGTGCTTCCTTTAGTACATTAATTTATAGTGCTAAAAATACTGAACATTATTTTTGATTATATGTGGTTTAATAACCATTACTGTTTTCAGTTAGTTTAATTCTCATTTGTCTTAAAGAATATGGTGAACCATGTTTTTCAATGTAGTTTAACATCCATGGAAATCATCATGAAGTGTTGTTGGTTGTTATTTCTTTTTATTAACCATTTAGTAGCATAAACTCTTAATTGTATGTGTTTTCAAACAGGCAGCGTTTTCCAATTGTCAATTAATTTATACTAATTACAAAATCAATTTGCCTGTTTCAAAGAATGACTTTCAGTTACGATTTCTTTCTAAAATATTTACAAATTATATTAATATCTTAAAAAGTATTAAAATTCAATTGTTATTAGGAAGTGTTTTATATCAATATAAAAAAATTATAATCCGGAAGCTTTAGCATGGTTCATAAGATCTCATAAATAGTCACAAGTTTAAATAATAAAAAGAGAGTGATATAAGCTTATATAAAACAAAATTGACACATTACAAATCATTAAATATGAGTGGAAGCCTTTTGGTGCAATAAAAAATAACGATAATGATCTTAAAACAAATGCTAGTTTGTTTGTTATTTCTATTCATTTTGTTATTTGCATTCAATAGAATTACCTGTTCTACTGATATAGAAATTTTTCTTTTGTTTTTTATTTACTTACTTTGCTTTAGAATTATGTGTAAATCATTGTCTTATTTTTTATTTGTTTGGATTACTTCAAAACTGCTCATTTTGAAATATTTCAAAGAATCATTTGTTATTATAAAGTACTAATGAAAATGTTTTATTAAAATTTTATTTTTGGTATTCTTAACTTTGTTTAAATTTTTTTTTTAAACAAAGAATTATTTGATTGAATATACAGTGAAATCTCTCTGTAGTGAACCCATGCAGACCCAGTAATATGTCCACCAACAATTGTTCACTATCTCCAAATATTTCAAGTATATGATAGTTGAATATAAGGATTGTAATTTTACATTATTGTTTTAACAAATTAAATAGATTATAAATCAAACTTAAAAGAGAAGAAACTTCTTGCTAAAATTTGGAATTTTGTAAAAGAAATTATCCACATTTTCTGTAGAAAAAAATATATTCACGGCTTATTTTATTTAAGATTGAGGATGCTGAAGTTTCATTTTCTTCTAATAAGTCTTCTTCGTTCTTTTGTTTAATTTCGAAGACAATGTTATCATCGGTAGAGGTACCAGATGTGCAGCAAATTTCATCATCGCAGCATTCAAATTGCTCTAAAACATCTCTAGGGAAAATGTCTTTCTTGCTTTTCTCGTCACAGAGTGATAGATAAATTGCCTTTATCATTTTCATCCTCCATATTACAGTCTTTCTTCTAAATCCTTCAAAAGACCTTGCCTGTCGGTAACAGTCGTGAATTGTTGGTGTCACTTCCCTCCCAAGAATTTTCTAACAAAATGATTGCTTCTAGAAAAGATATGTATTCTGCGTCCGTGTTGTTTTCTTCTAAAGTAGGACTTCAAGCTGCAACACAGAAGTCATATTTGGTAGAAATAGGAGTTAAATGCACCTTAAAATTTCTAAACTGAGATGAGCCGTTTACACCGGCAAGTTTAAAGTTGGAGGACTGAAAAATAAAACTGCGAAGAGGAAATTAGAGTTCACTATATCCAACTAAAAATTTCTCAGCTGTTCGTTATAAGTGTTTAAAATAGCATTATCTAAATGGGAGTTCAGACAGGTTCACTATAGCAAGGTTCGACTGTAAAAACTTGTTTTGATACTGATATTTATGCAGTTTTGAAATTTTTCTAAAGCAATATTTTTGTTGTTCTCTTATTTGATTCACTTAAAAATAAAAGTATTTACTGATTATGTGAATGTGGGCTACTTAAATACCACTTACTTTATTAATTAATATATAGGATGGAGTGGGTAAGAATATTAATTACAAGTACTGTGGCTTTAAGCTGGGTTTACAAATTAAGATGGAAAAATAAATGTTTTTTTTTCCTTCCTGTTTTCTTACTCAGGTATGATATCACTTGATTCCCACTTTTATTTTTTTAATTCTATTTGTTAGAAAACAATAATTTATTTTGCATACATAAACACANAATTGGTAAAAAAGTATCCACCCTGTGCCAGAATTGTGGTGACACGGGGACATTGTCACTGACTGTTACATTGTCACTGACTGGTAGGAAGATTTTTCCTTCAGCAAGTAAAAAAATTTGGTTTCCTTTTCTGCAGAAATTTTCGAAAGATTTCATTCTTTCTTTAAATTTATATTCAAAAGATGCCTTTCTAGTGCATCAAAGGGGTAAAAAATGTTCGTGATTTTTCTATTCTCTTTTGTAAAAAATAAAGAGTAATGAAGTTAAAAATTTCGATTTCCTTTTCTGAAGAAATTTTTGTTCTATTTTTTATGCAGTTATTACTACTGATTTCCACATAGTTTTTAAAATCCTATATTTTTAATGCAATATCATTTATTACAGCAACTGAATCTCGAAAACACGCAGTGTGTTTTCCTCCTACAACTATGAAAACATTTAATTTCCCTGTCTATCTTTTTTTGGGTATTTAATGTGATGATATACAAAATGGGAAAAAGGAAATAATTAGTGTGTTTTCCCCCTACGACATGAGAGAAAATCAGCCATAAAATAAAAAAATATTACATATTCAATTAAAAAAATTACTTTATTTTATCTGAATTTTTTTGTTGATGTTTACGCTTCTGTTACTTTAAATTAGTAATATGTATATTGTTTTAATTGAAAGTATCTTGCAGAAAGATATTAGTACTAGAGAGATATGTCGCAAAAAGGCCGAAAAAATTCTGCCGCAGGGTGTATCCACATAAAACAGCAAATGATTTCAGGGTTCCTAGTTTTCCTGATGCAAAATATACAGTCCTATTTTAAAAAAATCATTTTATCATTAGATCTTAAAAAATAATTTCACTAGAAAAGAAACAAAACATAACAATGGCAAAACTTGTATGTTCTTATTTTTTTTAAAAAAGAAAAATTGCACCAAACCTATCGTTTTTCACTATGAAAGATGCCAAGGGTGTTTCTCATTTTTCGTTGCCTGGTCAGCACCTTGTGACCCAAGTCATGCAGGCGATCAATATTATCAGTGCCACATTCACACACAAGAGAGAAACATACATTCTCTGAGCGAAATTCAAACTCGCAGTCAGGCACTCTAACTACTCGGTCACCTGGACGGCTATGTTACAGGAAGTTGAAATAATAATTCAATTATTTGGCAGTTATTACTGTTTATTTTTGCAGGTTTTTTTAAAAATATCGTCATTTTTAATATATTTATTATAAAGCAAGAATTTTGAAATGCACATTTAATTAATACTTTTTTGACGCATCCTATTCGTAAGATTTCTTTGTAAATACGCTTGGTTTAATCATTAATCTTTTTTACTTATTGCCGTAGATTTTAGTTTTTTCAATATATGTATGTGTTAAAATGAGCCTTTTATTGATCTCTTCTTTATACAAAAAAATTCAATCAATTTCTTCTCCCAGCAATTACATGCCTGTAATTATAGACAGAGGTATTTCACATTAGATGTAACAAAAAGATATATTTATAACCTTTTTGTCTGTCCATTAAAGTAATTTCTCTACTGAATTTATCATTTTTTGAAGAGGAAAAGATTTTGATATTGCTGCATACAGTGTTTATTGAATCACTGATCTGTTATATGTATTGTATTTCACACAGCAATTTTTTGTGATATTAATCCCATAGCTGCAATACTGATTTAATGAATTAAGGACTGAAACATAGAATTCTCATAACAAATAAAAAATTAGAGAGTTGGTGAATTCAGCAGTTATGATTCAGTCAAAGAGTTATAACTTTTAGTTTTTCTTACCTGTTTATTCATAAATGTAATAAAATTTTTCATTGTTAGCTCATAAATATACAATTGTTTTAACCAAAAAAATAACTCCACGGAGAATAAGTTTAATAAGAATTAAAAATTTATTCATTGGTAAGGTATGCAATTTTAAGTGATAAAATCCTACAAATTTTAAGTAATTTGGTAAAATAGTTTTTGAGCAATATAACTTCAAAAAATTTGTATAATATTTTTTTTGTAAAAATACAATTTTCTGTGTAGAATTACTTTTGGCTAAAATATTTAGTTCTATACTTTTAAACAAAAATTTTTTGTTTGGTTTTCGAGAGATAGCAGTAAGTAAACATACCTTAAAGAAGCTCAGACATTCGGACTTAGCAGCATGGTCTCTGTTGTTTATCACATCATTTGCAAATTAATTTTTTGACCTTTTAGTTTCAATATAACCGCAAGTTCATCATTTTTTTAATACTTAATGTAAATATATGTTACTTATTAAACAGAGCTATTTATTTTTTTAAAACATCTCTGAACTTATTTCTTAGAAAAATTCTGGAGAGGATAGAACACTGCATAGAACATAAAAGTCTAATAAAAAGGAAATTTTACTTAAATTACAGCATAAGAAGTTTCCTATCTATTTTAAAAACCTTGTTATATTTATAAGCTGAATTGTCACAAAAAAATTTGGTTTATGAAGATAACATTGCAGATTGAGTTCGTAAATTCTGCTGTCGTGTGTTATATCGTGTGTTATAGCCAATCAAAGTACTGCGCTGCGATTGGCAACGCTTATATAAGACAATGAGTATCTAGCACAGTTCTTAGGTCGGTTACTGCTGCTATGCCAGGTTATACAGATTTAAGTGAGTTAACAATGAAATTTGGATTTTCACGTACGACCATTTCTTGAGTATACCGCGAGTATCGGAAATCCGGTAAAACATCAAATCCACGACATCGCTGCGGTCGGAAAAAGATCATGCAAGAACGGGATCATTAAACGTGACAGACGTGCAACCCTTCCACAAATTGAAGCAGATTTCAATGCTGGGCCATCAACAAGTGTCAGCGTGCGAACCATTGAACGAAATAACTTCGATATGGGCTTTCGGAGCCGAAGGCCCAGATGTGTACCCTTGTTGACTTCTTGACACAAAGCTTTACACCTTGCCTGGGCCCGGCAACACCGACACTGGACTGTTGATTATTAGAAAAACGTTGCCTGGTCTGACGAGTCTCGTTTCCAGTTGTATCGAGCTGATGGACGTGTACGGGGTATGGAGACAACCTCATGAATCCATGGACCCTATATGTCAACAGGGGAGTGTTCAAGCTGGTGAAGGCTCTGTGATGGTATGGGGTGTGTGCAGTTGTCGTGATATGGGGCCCCTGATACGTCTAGATAAGAATCTTGTCTGATCACCTGCACCCATTCATGTCCATTGTGCATTCCGACAGACTTGGGCAATTTCAGCAGGACAATGCGACACCCCACACGCCCAGAATTGCTACAGAGTGGATCCAAGAACACTCTTCCGCTGGCCACCAAAATCCCCAGACATGAACATATTTGGGATGCCTTGCAATGTGATGTTCAGACGATATACCCACCCCCTCTTACTCCCACTGGTTTATGGACAGCCCTGCAGGATTCATGGTGTCAATTATCTCCAGCACTACTTCACACATTGATCAAATCCATGCCACATCGTGTTGCGGCGGCCCTACACGATATTAGGCTGGTATACCAGTTTTTTTGGCTCTTCAGTGTATATTGATAGTCAGAAATCTGAATTCCTAGAAAAGATTGTTTTGAAACATACCTTTATCTATATACAAGTTATTTAAGGTCTACCCATGAAATTTATTAAGTCATATTTTAACTTCCACATTTGATCACTATTAAAGACTAATCCTGTAAAATTGTGTCGACTTGCTTAAATAGTTCAAGATAAGACATTAATAAAATCAAACTTTCTTCTGATCAAATTATATTTTAGTAAGCTGAGCTATACTCCCAAAACTGGCATTTTTATCTAGAGAATGTATGTTTTTTTTGTGCTTGATGTTATCAATTAATTTGCATATCTCAGGTAATATTGTAAAAATTCAACCATTAGTCCAGAAGTTCTCTCACACATGTTTGTTTTAATCATTACAGTGTATTAGAGAGTTGCAAAAGATTGAAATTATTGGATGTTTCATTTGGAGATCCCTCAGTCGTTGAAGCCGTACCAGATTTACAAATGGCATTCCCTAGTGTTGAAATTAAATGTTGTTCTTCAGTGGATATGGATATGTGATATAAATTATTTATTATCTTGTACATAGACAATTTATGTAAATAAAGTTTATGTTATTGTTTGAACACCCGCTACATAAACGTTATTAGTTTCTATATAATTTCATAAAGGCATGAGTCATATCAAACACGGCATCAACTGTTGGTATTTATTTAACACTTTGAATTTATGTGTATTTATTTTAAGGTTATAATTAAACAGTATGGTAGTGAAATTTAAAATACTCTTAGTTACATCCCCAATAATATTTATTTTATTAGTATTTCAACAAAAGATTCAAAAATTTCGATTAGAGTAGCATGTTTTTCTTTCATATAATAAAATAGAATTGACTTACCTTAACATAATAGGCATGATAACAAACTATATAATCCAAATAAAGAATGTTATATTGCAAAATAAAAAACAATGGAGTTTATATATAACCTGATATGTATACATAAATTCATTATATATAACTTTAAACAGATCTGCACATCAATACATAATAGTTAACTGATAGATTCAGCTTTACTTGCTTTTATAAAATGAACTAAAGAAGTTTTTTTCCAAAGAAGCGTCACGTTAATGGTTAATCCAAGTTACGTTTTTATTTCGCCATCACCGATTCCTAGTAAGAATATTAAATTTGCTACCATTTTAAATATTAAAAAAATAAAGCTGATTGATCTGATTTTGTAAAATGCAAAACAAAATCTTTGTTTTATATGACCACCCATTTTTTATTTATTCATTTTTTCAATTTTATTCTAATAACTTATTCGTAAATTATTTTCTAGCACTTATCAAAATCTATGTTTAAAACTTGCCAGTAAATCTATTATAAGACTCGATTCAAACAATTACAATTCACTCATAAGCATAATCTGTTATAGAGCTTTTTATTTAAAAAAAATCCCTGCCATTTATTCATAAGAACTAGCAGATTTTTTTACAACACAATATGATGTCTCTTAACAAAAGAAAGCATAGGATGCAGAAAGATTTTTAATATCAATTATGATTATCAAAATGACAATAGGTCTTCATTGAAAAAATATCCAGAATTAATAATTATATTAACAAATATAAATTCATTAATAGTATAATGATTATAAATTATTATAACAATGTAAGCATAATATTACATGTGGCATAACAAATACATGAAATATGTCTAATCAATCCATATAAAATACTTACCATATAAAATGCTTACTTACTTTTTAAGAAATAACATATAAATAAATATAATGTATATAAATGCATATGAAAAATACATGTCAGATCTATAAAGAACGGTATAAAACTAGAATGTATATAATGTAAGCATTGGAAGACATATGATAGAGTTATGAGAATAGATTTGCCACAACTTTGAACAATTTTAGTCATTGAATTCACGATGTGAATCATGTTTCATGATAATCACACTATTTATATTAATTCAAACAAAACTGAACATTTACAAAATATAATAGCATCCTTTCATAATTAATATTTCTTAAACATTAAGAATGAATTTAATTCAATAAATAATATTCTTAACATAATGAAAATAAATCAATAATAACAAAATGGAATGTAGATAAATCAATGATGACATAATACATCGTACATGCATAGAGCAGGTAATCTTAAAAATTATCCATCACAGCAACCATAAGAAAACTCTCCTAAAATTTGCCAAAGCTATAACACCTACTCACTAAATCGCTTAATTTTCAGGATAAGTATGACTAAAAATCAGTATAAAATTTTCTGTTCAAATTAATGATCAACACAAACAAGAATTATTTTAAAACTTGGTGCTGTCATTTTCCTCCAAAAGCTGTGTGTGTGTATTTATAAAAATATACACACCACATCAAAAGTAAAACCAAATATGCATAAAATAATAGTAGGATAAGCTTTTAAAATCTCAAAAACTATGAAATCTCATATTTTTCCATAATCTCAATAAATCTTCAAGGTTGTTTGTACCTCAGAAAAGAGGGGGGAAAACAGGCAGTAAAATCAGTTTATATCTACCTTGTTTTAAGAAGTGGATTGGCCCTGACCACCAAGTATATATAT